CACTACAAAGTTCGGATTCGTTCTCATCGGCGTTGGGTATAATTATTACAAATTTCAGACTCTGCCTGACCGGGAGAAAGGTTTTTCCTGGCTGCCTCCCCCATAATTCCGACGCCCGCCCCGCGTCTATTGCAAACAAAGAGGCTGTGTGTCCTGGTGAAGCCGGCCGTCCAGACACACAACGGACGGGCTTCACCATCAAGTCGCCCAACTCTCCTCGGTGCTCGCATCCCTTCGGACTTCTTCGGAGCTCAGCTTCCTCCTGTCGCCGAAAGGAAGGGCAGCTCCATCACGCCACGATGGTACACAGAGCACTCATACTAAGTAATACTAAGGGTGTTCCCTGTGCAAACATTGTTGTCGTTGGTACAATACTCATGTTCTAGAGGATAAGTCAAGTGTTTTGAATTTGTACAACCCCAAGCTCTCGGGGGGCGGGTACGTCAGATATAACCTGGTTTTTTTTGGTTGGCTTGCGTTGTGTGTTCTTGTGCTAAGGGGATTTGTCCGGTTTTTTCGTTTCTGGTACTGGGCGACGTCGGGGACGGCAGTGTAGTCCCTCGATCTTAGGGATCCCTGCTGGAGTGATTTACGCCATCAAGAACATGCACCGCAGTCTAGCCAGACTTTACTTCCACTGTCACCACGTTCGCTAGCTCACCACCACCCATTGTATAGAAATCTGCATTTTCATATCGCCCATTGTAATGTAGACTTCAAGATGGTATATCACACATAAAAGGTAGTAGCCATAGTCCACAGGGTCTGCTTTTCTTGTAACACACGAAGTCTGCTGGAGAAGGCAAAGTGCACACTTGCCGCTGAATAGAGTGGACCAACTTTACCAGTCGTCACCGCAGTCTCCGCGCCTCTCGCTCGGACTCCAGCAGACAAAGGACGTCTCCCTCACGAACTGGACCCTTCACGTTCCTAATGATGGTCCGCCCATCGTCCAGGAACTCTACCCGAACCTGCACGGCGTGGCGATAGTAGCTGAAAGACATTTAGTTGGCAGGCGGAGACTTACCTGCGTACACTGACCTTGGGATCCAGTGCGGCCTATTATTTTGATGACCTAAAGAAGAGGTGAGTGAGGAACACGCTGGACGCCTTCTACGTGTCTTACTTTGGCGTATCTTGGCTTGTCCATCTGTGTTACCTGCTATAGTGAGCACCAATTAGAACAAACACGCGGCACAAGCGCACCGTTTTCTTTTGGCGCTTATCCTAGCGCGAGCGCGCGTATACTGCTAACTAAAGGAAAGTGCAAAAAGACATTGTGATGAGGTAAAATGAGAGGAGAGGGAGTGTGCAACAAGTTCACAGCTGAGTGCTCTTCTTCTCGCTGTAGACAGGGAGAGGCTGAGGATAGCCCAGGGAGAAGGTGGGCGGAGACTGCAGCTGAGGAGACATCATCATCATCTTCTCCTTCCTCACCTCCACTGCCATCAGCTGAGACTGACCCAAAGAGAGGGGGGTTCATACTTTGAGGATTATCACCCCACTTCCTTACCCACCCACTTCTAAAATTCTATGTACATAATTATAATTTCACGGTTTGACAGAACTGGCAATATTGTTAAACCCACAATGTGTATAATACCTCTCTCTTTTTAGTGCCAGTCTCCTGGTTGGTAGTCTCCACCTCATCAGACAGAAGTCCAGAGCAGCAGCAGGTGACGATGGCCACTAGAATGAGTCCAACGCCAACCAGAGACAGGAGTCCTCCCTCCCGTGGTGTACTTCCAAGGACAAGACACGCGGTATGTGGTCGCCCCATCTCCCCCCTTCTCCTCTTCCTCCGCCTCCGGTTTTGAAGGTCTTCCAGCCTCTCTGCATACCCAAGGCCTGAGGACACACTCAAGGTGAAGCAGAGTGACCTCAAGAAACTTACCATCAACAATACTCTCGCCATATTCTATCTCCACCGATCCTTCCTGTGCACACAAAACAAGCACATCTCACTCACTCTATACCCACACATCCAGTAAGGTTGAGGGCTCACATTTTCCTCAATGATGACAAACGCGGATACTTTTCCTCCTCCAGGCAGCAGTTGGTACATGCTCTCTGCTTGCTGTGTCAGCATTTCCATCTGGCCGTCACCGTTTGGTAGCTGGCTGCTGATCGCTTCAAACAATTCCATGACTAAACCAAACTCCTTGGTCCCTCCTGTGGTCTGGTAGATTTGGTCTCTATTTGGTACCTTTTGGTCTATGGTTGTCACGTTGCAGCCTGTCTGGCAGGCATACAAGTGACCGTCGGAGCCATACGCTTCTTTACATGCTGTGGGGAAAGGGGAAATGACAGGAAATTGAAGGGGTCTGGGACAATTAGGTCTCTCTTACTGGACAGGCAAAAGGAGCGATCTGGTGCAAATGGCCAGGACATTAGAGCGTCCATGACGGCCATACGACAGCCTCTGGTACACGCACAGTGGTCATCGGGCTGTGCGGAGAAGACAGCGAGATTGAACAAGGAAGAAGAGAGACGTATAAAGAGAACGTACCTCGGGGTACGTGTGTTTAGGGTAGGTAGCGGCGCAATAGTCAGAGCACGTCTCGTCCTGGACCTGGAACTCCACCTTACCCTCTCCCTCTGCCAGGCAACAGGCGCCCAGTCCAACTACCAACACGAGAAGAACGGACACCCGCATCTCTCTCCCCGATCTGCTAACTCCGTATATCCTCCGGATATTGCGGTAGCGGAAATCGTAACGTGAAACCGGAAGTATCTGCACGAAGCAAAGCGGGCGGATCAGCACTTGAAAGGATTCTGAAGCAAACAAACAGCAGCTATATAATATAGCAGCCCTGCAGTTGAGCCTCTCAGCAACAAAGTTGTGACGGTGGGGAGCCATGAAGCTAACACTGGTCTTTTGTGGCCTGCTCTGTGCAGTAACAGCGATCCCGGGCACGCCTGTGAGTCCAGCTAGCTATCCTGCGTGGAGTTTTGAAGATGTTGGGCTACTTTCCTCTTTTCCTTAGTCTACAGACCCGTCTGCATATGACTTGCGCTACAGAATACCGACCGGTTGTGATCCTACGACCAACTGTACGTATTTCGTGGGTCTGGAAGTGAACGCGAATGACTCCAGCTACCTCGATGTCTTTCTCACTGCACCGGTGGCTGGCTGGGTCGCCGTGGGCTTTTCACCCACTCCCAGTATGGTACGTGTTGAAACTAGAGCAGGTATGCAGTAGCTGCAGCGGTTGAGAGCTGGATCTTTTAGCCCGATAGTGATGTCTTTGGCTGCATTGTGCGGGACTCTGAGGTAGAGGCAATTGACACGTACAACGTCCCCACAGGCGCAAACAACAATCGTTTGGATCCCGAGGTTGGTTTCTGCTTGTCTTGTCTCATCGTGTATACTAATAAATGCTGTCTTCTCGGGCTCAGCAAGGTGATATAGTATTTAGCAATGGAACTCTGGAGAATGGAAGGATCACTTGCACGTAAGTCCACAAACAGCCTCTCAGGACCCAGGAGTATCTCTGTCTTGTCTTCTTCATCTGTCCTCAGCTTCAGTCGACTCATTGCAGGCGATCAGAGCCCCTCAGTTGACCGGAATCTCAACAACAGCTGGTTCCTCCTCTCTGGATTTAACATCAATGGAAGAAGTGAGTGCTCTTCTTACCCTACCACCTTCTTTATGATTCCAGCACACACACACCACAGCTGCTGATGATGTTGGCTTCAGCGTGCATAGGTTTACGACAGGTGTCGACCTGCCAAGAGCCCTTGCCACAGAGATGGTCAATCCAGTGATGGCGGAGGGCGAGCTGCCTCTCATGATGGCACAAACTGAGTGTCCCACTAATGTTCCTCCTCCTGTACGTCACCCTCTATCTAGAGCTAGAGCTTCAGGACACTCTTTAGTGGTGTCCTGATTCAGTTCAGGACACTCTCTAGTGGTGTCCTGATTCAGTTCAGGACACTCTTTAGTGGTGTCCTGATTCAGTTCAGGACACTCTCTAGTGGTGCCCTGATTCAGTTCAGGACACTCTCTAGTGGTGTCCTGATTCAGTTCAGGACACTCTCTAGTGGTGCCCTGATTCAGTTCAGGGCACTCTTTAGTGGTGTTCTGGTCAGTTGTTAGTATCTCCTTTGATTCTTTTAGGTTATAGATCCTCAAGACTACAGGCTGAGGCGCAGAGACCCAGCAGGGTGCGACCCACAGGACTGCGATTATTTCATGGGCATCAACAACAATACCAACCCTGAGTACCTGGATTTCTACATGACTGCAGACATTGGTGGCTGGGTGGCGGTTGGATTCTCTCCCTCTGCCAACATGGTATATAAGTGTGCTGCAGCACACGCACTAGGACAACCCCTCATGTACCTGGCACAGCCTACATACATTAATACATGTCGGCAGCAGTTGATCGTAACAGCAGACAATGTTTGCCTTTTCCTCTGTACTACTACCGCCACATCCCTGTTGTTTCCCTCTTGACCTCTGACCCCGAATCTGACTCCTATTCCTCCATTTCTGACACTGCATCCTGTGTGGTACTACTTAGTGAATGTTTCTAGTCCTCCACTGCCAAATTTGGATTATCTCACCCAAATTCGTGAAAAGGTGCACACAATACACTACAGTCTAGGAAGTGTGTACACATATCCTCTACTTATAGTGTGTAAGACATGATAACTCCCACCCTGTTAGTTTGATGCAGATGTGGTTGGCTGTAATGTCGACTCAACCAATGGTGATGTGGCTGTCGTTGACACCAGTAATCCTGCAACTGGCAGAGCCAACAATCTCGATATCACCCAAGTAAGTGGGGAGTGCCTTTTCTCTCTCCCTCATATATACCTGTGTTCTCTTTACTTGTATATATACCTCTGTCCATCTCTCTTTAGGATGTTTGTAGACACTCATCCAGTTTTGTAAACGGACGGATCACTTGCATGTGAGTGACCGGGACTCTTTTAGTCCTTACCCTCCCTCTCTCTCCCTCCCTCTCCCTCCCTCTCCTTCCCTCTCCTTCCCTCTCTCTCCCTCCCCCTCTCTCCCTCTCCTTCCCTCTCCTTCCCTCTCCCTCCCTCTCTCTCTCTCCTCTTGGCTGTTCCTGCTCAGATTCAGCAGGAAGGTCGTAGGCACTGATGCTATTCCTATGGACAGACCTCTCGACACTGACTATTACTTTCTCTTTGGAGTTGGGAGATCTGGAGGAGGTATATATAACACTACACAATACCCTCACAGTAGTAGAGTCTGTATGGTGCCAACCTTCTACATCTGAATCATGCACATGGTTGCCTGCCTTGTGTTGACAACCCATTGATAAGTCTCAACCACTCAAATAATAGTGGGCCCTCTTGATTTGTCTCCAGTGCAGATATTTCATTTCTTGTCCTCACACTGTCGTGCCTCCTTTTCTCTCTGGCAGGTAGTGGCAGTTTCCCTAACCACCAGCCCCTCATTCCTCCCGTCAGTGACGGTCAGTTCAACCCTTCCACAGACTCGGGGGACATTGGAGTCAGCCGACTGAGACAGCAACTCCTCCAGGCCCACGGAATACTCATGCTCATTGCCTGGCCTCTCCTCGCATTCACCGCCATCTTCTTCGCTGCCTGGATGAAACAGGCCCTTCCCAATGGAGAGTGGTTCCAGGTCAGAGCCTCGGTTTAATTTCGGGTGATGTCACTATGATGTCGTTGTAATCTGACCTACTTGTGTAGGTGCACCGTGCGTTCCATATTGCGGCTCTGTTTGTGGCAGTGATAGGGTTCATTCTGGCATTTGTGGCCAACATGGGCAATGACGGACTGATAACACTGGGCAGCAATAATGTAGGTCAACCTATCAGAATATCCTCTCTCTTTATCTTCCTCACCCTTATCTAAATAAAATACAGAAAAGTGGGACAACCCACTTTGTGCTGGGAATCGTCATAATGGCTCTCCAAATTGCAAACGTGAGTTTCAAAACCTCAAACCTCAACCTCTTACAATCCGTTTAGCTCTAACGATCCTTATATCTCTAATTACTCCCCACTCCAGCCAATCATATCCATATTCAGATGCAAGCCAACCGGAGACTAGTGAGTATTGCACCCAATTACGTAACCGGTGTTGTCAGACGTAGTGCTTTCATATTTGCAGTCGATGGATCTTCAATATTATTCACGGTTTCATCATTGGTCTGGGGGTGGAGCTCCTGGCCTGTGAGTGGTTATGTAACAATCACATGAGTGGAATTCAATCTCTCTCTCTCTCTCTCTCTCTCTACCAGACGTGAATATTGGTATAGGAGTTAGCATATTCAGTGAGACACAGAGTAACTTCGGAGATCTCACCATTTTCTGGGTGTACCTGGCCTTTGCCATCTTTGGAGTGATTCTGAACACTGGACTGCTGCTGTTCTTTACCTCTGAGGCTGTCTTAAAGGGAGAGGAGGGTACGTACGTCTGTGTGCACCACAAAATTGTGTGCAACTTTTCTTTCTTTACTGGGCAATACACACACACAATGATTGAACAAGTTGAGAATCAGTCATGGAAATATTCTGTTTCACAACTTGTCTAGTCATGACAGTGGTATGAAATAGTGGTTAGGTAGCTCTGAAAAAACTTCTCGTTTATGTACAAGTAGGCAGTTGACAAAGGAGCTCAAATCTATCTCTCCTCTCTCTGTCTGTCTGTCTTCTGTCTGTCTGTCTGTCTGTCTCAGGCACGAAGCTGGCTCCAGCTGTGATGAAGCCATTATTCAACCAGGTCTACGGTTCAGGAGACTCGAGTCCCCCACAGGGAGTGGAATTGAAGGCACCAGGGGAACCAGAGAAACCCACCGGACCCCCTCCCCGCAAACCCCCCTCAAAGGACGCCCCCATCCGCTGGATGGCACTGGGGCTTTTCCTGGGGATCATGGTGCCCCTCATTTTAGCTGTCATTATCATGATCGCTGCCACCGGCAGCCTTGATGGATGAGTAGCAGAACATTTTACAAACTGTGTACATTATTTATGGGTCTTTTACCTCTAGACTCCATAATGTTGTCACGTATAATACTGCTAGGAAATGTATGATGTAATTTTGTAGTTGAGAGTGAGAGCGCACCTTGTCCTGATCGTGCTAGCCAAACTCTGCGCATGCGGCTGATATGTCGCAGCGCACGAGCTCACTGCGCATGCGTCGACTCCCTATAAAAACAAGCACCTCCCAGTCCTCAGCCAATTCTGCTGCAGTCACTGGCAGACCAGCGAGTGCGATGGCCATCTCTCTCGTGTGCATTTTCTGCCTCTTTGTATCTGCAGCAGTGGGGGAAACGCCTTCTGCACCCGTAAGTTTTTCACCTCACTAACGAAATTGTGGCGACGAACATTTGCACACGTAGACTCGCAGTCCTAACCACTACCGTCTCCGCTACCGCGAGCCCAGTGGCTGCGAACCAGACAACTGCAATTATTTCGTGGGGATAGACTCGAACGAAGGAGACTCGTCCTTCCTTGATGTCTACCTCGTCGGCAAGGCGAAAGGATGGGTGGCTGTGGGCTTCTCCGAGACCTCTGATATGGTGCGTATATAGAACAATGCTTGTAGCCAGCGAAGTAGTGTCAAATATTAGTTGAGAGGGACATATATATCAGGGTGTTATAACAAAACAGGTTGTGATGTAGCTAGTGCAAGCATTCATACACCAAGAAACTGCAGTCTAGCCAGTATGGATATGCAGCTAAGGAAGTGGTGGAAGATGTACTGTCAATGCTTCTTCTCTATTCAGCCCAAGACAGATGTGGTAGGCTGCAGTGTGGAGACGGCTGATAGTACACAGGTCCTGGTGATTGATACATACAACCCCGAATACTACAATGAGGTTGACGACTCTGAAACTCGTGGAAACGCGGTTGGTGACTGCGTGGGAATATCGAGTACCAGGACACGTATGTTTACAGTGTTTCTCTCCAACAGAGCGATGTTGTAACTTATATCAAAGAGTCAGTAGATGGAAGAATTAGATGTGTGTAAGTGCGTAATTGTAAGGATGATCAACGTATGTATAATATAGCTACCCTGTATCTGACATGTCATAATTGCATGTAAGCTCTGGACTAAAACTTGAACCGTACAGCTGGATAACATTCTTCATTCAGTCCCATAGAGTGTGATGATACTATATATGCACCTCACAGGTTTAGCAGAAGAATCAAAGGTCTAGACCCGTACCCTCAAGACGTGCCACTAAACAGAACTCTCTACTTGGAGTTTGGTCGAAGCAATATAGGACGAGGTATACATTATTAATACAGCCTAATGATGCATCTCATGATGATTCAATCCAACGCAACAGATTCTGCCAAAGTTACTAAATTTGCATACCACGACCTGGGAGAACCTGTAATCAGCTTCAATCAGTATAATCCAGCCAACCACCGTGGAGAGATTGTGAATGCAAGACCCGACATCATTACTGAGCCTCAAGGAGTCCCTACTGCCCCAGTGAGCTCTGAATTATCACTGTGTCTATTACTATTAATACTTACTGCATTTCTGTAGACCCGCAATGCAAGTGAGTATCGTCTCCACTACCGCCAGCCACACGGATGTCATCCCAAGGACTGTGACTACTTTGTTGGAATTGATACAAACGAGGGGGACCCCTCTTTCCTCGATTTTTACCTCGTTGGCAAGGCAAATGGCTGGGTGGCTGTGGGCTTTTCAAAGACAGCTAACATGGTATGCAGTGAAACAATGATCTTTCAAAACAGCCAGTTTTGATAGCAAAGTGCAGTGGATGCCATAGAAAAATGCTGTTGGGGGAGAATTGGTTTCTAAGGAAGTGGTTGAACGCTTATTCCTGGTCTCTCTATAGTTCAAGACAGACGTAGTGGGCTGCAGTGTGGATGTGAAAGGAACATGGGTACTGGCAGTTGACACCTACAACTCACCAGATGGCAAAGTCAATAAGCTGGATGATTCTGAGGAGGCTACCAACGGAGAAGCTGTGAGTATGGTGGTATAGCTGGTATAAGTCCATCTGCCCTTCAATTCACTGGTACAACTGAACACATGTTTATACTGTCTCACACAAACAGGTTGATATCATAGCTTATACCAGAGAATATGCTGACGGCGTCATCCGATGCACGTACGTTTTTACACGACGCAGTTGAACAGTCGAGTGGTGACATACTATTGCACACGCAGATTTAGTAGAGAGATTGAAGGTATTGACCCTTGCCCCCAAGACTTTCTACTAAACCACAGCTACTACCTTCAGTTTGGACGCAGTGATAAAGTGAGAGGTATGTATTATGTAGAGAAGACACACGTTTGGTTGGTGGGTTTTACAGTAATCTCAACAGACACAGCCAATGTCTCCAACTTCCACTTCCATGATATCGGGACTCCTACAATCAGCAAGTCAACGTACAATCCTGCCATGAGCCACGGAGAGATTGGAGCCTCCAACATGAGAAACAACCTTATCCTGGCCCACGGAATTCTCATGCTGATAGCCTGGCCTCTCCTCTCCTTTGTGGCCATCTTCTTTGCAGCCTGGATGAAGCCAGCTCTGCCCAACGGAGAGTGGTTCCAGGTAATGTGGTAACCCTTTGTAGACACTGCTGTAATACATTCCCTGCATGGTTACTACTTGGATGAGTAGTGAGAATAACTAGGAAATTTGTCCATGGTTGACTAGTGGTAATTGAGATTGTTATTCAGATCTATTTCTTGTTAATGTAAGTGTAGACAGGTATTATTGGCATTCCTTGCACTCCCACAAGAGCACATATTTACTAGAAACACACCTGATATAGACGTTCAGTGTCCCTTCACTTGAAACCACGCTATAATTATAGCTAAAATATCTGTATACAAGGAAAGCACAAGCTAACTGTTAAGCGTTTGTTTGGTACTATGATATAATATGATGAATGAGTGAGTGTTTGGACATTATTTTTCTCTTGCATGCAGGTGCACCGTGCCTTCAATGTAGCGGGTCTCCTGGTAGCAGCGGTGGCTTTCCTATTGGTTTTTGTGGCTCACAAAGATGAGTCTATTCCTGGACTCATCGACTTTGGCGCAGGAAATGTCAGCTCCTCTCTGAATATAATATTTTACCTTGCAGGGCATTACTCTTGAAATTTCATTTCCAACAGAAAATTGGCACAGCTCACTTTGCTTTTGGGATTGTGATCATGGCTCTCCACATCCTCAATGTAAAACAGAGATATTTGTATGAATGTCATTCTATGCTTCTGTTCCCACAGCCTCTCATCTCCCTCTGTCGGTGCTAAACCTAGTGGCAAGAAGTGTGTCATTAATTTTTTTTACATGCATTTGGTTTATTAACTGCTTCCTGGTTATTTAGCCGCTGGATATTCAATGTGGTGCATGGACTGATAATTGGCTATGGTCTCCATATACTGGCCTGTGAGTTTCAAATATACCCATCGTTTAGTATTCTAGTAGCAAAAGTGCAGGCATGCCAAGTTGGTCTGTAGCTTTATGCTAGGAACAATGGGAGCTCTACTAACACACGACTGTTTCTCCTCTACAGATGTGTCCATGGGGCTGGGAGTGGCCAAGTTTGATGAAGAACACACCAACCACAAAGACCAGGCCCTGGTGTGGCTCTATGTCGCCATTGCTGCCTTCTCTCTCCTCTTCAACTTTGGCCTCTTCCTCCTCTTCACTGGAGAAGCCACTCTCTTCAGAAGAGACGGTAGGATTCTAGTTGCTGTTGAGTAGTTATGGAATCTCCGTGAGAGTGTCGTATGAAAGAGCTTATCAGGAATACAGAGGAGTTATGAATAAGGAATCAGGGTTTTCAAGCATGAGTAGTGAGTAGTGTACTATGAAATACAATATTGTTATATAGGGAAATGAAATTCTATATAGTGCAAGGTTACAGTTGAGTGAGCTATCATTCTCTCTCTGTGTGTGTGTGTGGTGTGTGTGTGGCACAGTTCGTAACATTGCTCCGTCTGTGGTGGGCATGCTCTGGAAGTGCTGCAGCAAGTACTCTGAGGTCGGGTCATCGCCTGAGAAGATGGAACTGGAGGACTCAGCCAGAGACCCATCCAACACCAATCTCCTCTCCTCTTCTTCCTCCACCTCCCCTCCCAAGAAACCATCGGCAGATGCCCCCCTTCGTTGGGTTGCTCTGATCATAGTCCTGGCCATTCTATTGCCAGCTGTGATTACCCAAATCTCCCTCATGATAACTAGGAGCAACCACGTCTGACATTATTATGGCAATAATAGCGTAGCAAACTAGTAGGGCTTGTGGTTTCCTCTGCATTCACAAGCTTGAATGATAAAAATTTGATCAATGGGACAGCCTGTGAATATGAGAAAACCGTAGTATCCTCTATTTTCAGTGTTGATGTGGGAGTCTTCCCATAGCTGGCTTCTTGTTCCTCCACCGCTGTTGTGAGTTCTCCAGAGTTGTTGTGAGAGCTGTGGCCGAGCAGACCACGTGCAGACACTGGTGGGCGGGGTCTGGGTGAGCGATGAGGTAATGGTTAGCCGCCACCTCCTGAAACGAGCCTCCGCCCATCAGAACGAGGCAATCTGACTCCACGGCAATCTGCCTCTGGAGCATAGCAACGTAGCCCCTCTCCGCGATGCCCTCCGTTGCCACTAGGAAACTGTCCTCCCATTCCTCCAGACTCGTCCATCTCCCTCCATACACCTTCACCAGAAACTGTGTCACTGACGCAGTGACTGAGTCTAGGGACTCGTCCATTCTCTGAACTGTCTTGTTGCTCTGCATGAGACCGCTGCCGTATCGCCCAATGTCCAGAGTGAGAAACGGGCTACTGTTAGACCAGCGCGGATCCTCTCTCAGGTCAGAGTACACACCCAGAGTCTTCTCCAGGCATGACTCGACAGTGTCATCAACTGCACGAGATGATTTAAGAGTCAGGAACCTCTCAACTCGCAGCATTATAGCTATGGTCTTGTTGGCCCCCAGGACCTCTGCCCGGTACTTGTGAGTATGTCTCTTCATTATGGCGCTGGGTCTGAGTCTGTCTGCTGGGTACTTATCAGAGATGCCACACCTGGTGCTGACTCCCAGCCAAGTCCTGGCCACGTTGTAGTTTCGCCAGGAGTTGAAGACAATTGTCGCATTGTGCATGTTTGCCAACAACAGCTGATTCAGTTTCTGCTTATCGTAGCAGTCGACGGGCACTATCTTGAGGATTTTGAAGTTCATGTTTTCGAGGGTCTTTAGGAAATCTTTGAAGAGTCTGTTGACTGCGGTGTGTAGGTGGCGGTTGATGATTTGAGAGCACGAGCCCTGTGGCGTTACCACCACAACCGCCTGTCGCGGAGCCTGGATTAGGAACTCCTCCCACTTAATGAGGGGTGCCCCTTCGTCTTTCAGCGATGCAGCGTTGTACAACTCTAGATCGAAGTAGTCGCTGAACCGTGCCACGTTTTGGGTCTGTCCTCGTTTGACAGACTCCCAGATCTGTGGCGTGTGCAGGAGCTGGGAATTATGGGAGAATGGTTCCAGGATTGTGACGTCAGGGCCCAGATCTCTAGCCCAGCACTGCTGCACCATCATGTTCTTCACGGCTCGCGTCAGCTGCCCGCCAAACGACTGCGTTAGTATGAAAATCCTTTTGCCTGTGTCTGCAGTGCTCTCAGAGGAGACGAAAGATGAGGAAACGGTTGAAATGGTGCCTGGGACGACTGACGTTCTACTCACGATGCTTGCAGTCGTGACGGAGGAATATTGTGAATTTTGGAGATTCTGCAGCGACTTAGCTTGCGATGCCGCGGACGGTAAACCGTAAAGGGTTTGCGAGAGAGGCGCATGAGACTCCGGCGAAAGTTGAACCGTGGTGGGAGCTTGGCGCCAAGTCGTCCAGGCCCTCAGGGGCTGGAGCCCGGTGTAGGTGAGACAAAACATGCACATGACGAGGACTAACAGTACAAACAAACTTGTCCAGCATCTCTTCCTCAGCAGCAGCGCCATCCGACCCTCGTGTCGCGGCCGATCGAGCCGACCGAGGTCCCGACCGAGGTCCCGACCGACCGACGACAGGCCAAAGCCTCTATTGCGCATGCGCTAATGCTCGACCAGGAGAGATGATGGAGGATACTTCAGCAGCGTGCTCCGTTTCAGAGCATTTGGGAAACGAGGAGGAACCGCCTCCACCTAAAAAGACAAAATTAGACACGCCAGGAGACGCTCAGCCAAAGAAGCTTCTTGGACTGGGTGAGCAAGTAAACATTTTGATGCGCATTCCTGAACGGTGACGTCATCTTACGTCACCAGTGGATCACCACAGTGAGCCACAGGCCCTGCCGGCAGACTGGGTGGCTGTGCATCACGTGAGCGGTGCCACAGTCTACCTGCACCAGCCGACTCGCGTGGTGACATTTTCTCGACCATACCAAGTCCCCACTTCCAAGACAATCAGGGTACACACAGGGTTCGTGCCACAATTATTGGAGGGACAAACCTTGAACATTAAATGCTTCACATTTGCCTATTTTGCTGTTAAAAATGTGTTGCAGCAAAGATGTTACTTTACTCTCTCTTTCCCCTCTCCACACAATCTTGTCCCTCCTAAGAAACACGGTGTTTGTGTCCAGAGTATCCCCTGTCTGGAGCAGTGGCTGTTTGCTGAGGGTCAGAGGTCGGAGCTGGCACTCGCCTGGCATCGTCAGCAGGGGGAGGGGGGACCTCGCAACTGCAGCCTAGTCAAAATTGGTATACACAGAAACTTACGCAAGTTAATTAGCCATCTTTGGAAGGTTTCTCTGCAATTATTATTTTGAGACTGGGGCCTGTGTGTATATTCACCAATATTTGCTACTGAACGCGAGTTTTTGGATCTCACACTTGTGGCCGCAAACACTCACTGTTGAGCATCTGTTGTTTTGAGTGGTCGTGAGAAGCTCTGCCAAATACAGATTCTGCACACAATTGCCACAGGTCCAGAGAGGCTGAGGGAGTACTTGGGTCTTCGCTGGGAGTCCTCTCTACTTACAGAGGCTGGTTGTCGGTGCGCACGTCTCTCTCTCTCTCTTTAGTTGTGAGTATTGTGTGCTAGTTCTGCACTCCGTGAAGGGGGAGGGGGGAGAAGGAGGGAGAGAGGGAGGGGGGACGAGAGGAAGAAAAAGACCCCACAGAAAACAAAGCCTGTCATTGTAAGTCAACCCCCTCCCTCCCTCCCTAACTTTCTTCTGATCCTGCACCTAGCCAAAAGGTCTGTCCAAAGTGGTGAAAGTCAAGGTGCCACCTGAGTACAGGAGTCTAGTAAAACACCAAGAAGGCAAGACACCACCTGCTGGTGTGTAAATGTTAGCTTTGTTCTCCATTTTAACCCTTCCCCCACTGAATTCTTCTCTAATTGTAGTGTGGGAAGTAAACCTGTCCACTAAGAATGCCACTACAGTTCTCCACGAGTTTTGTCAACTCTATTTCCACGCTTCTCCCTCCTTCTCCTTCTCAGACACCAGTCAGTCCTTCTCTCTTCCTCTCTCTCTCTCTCTCTCTCTCTGTGTTAATGAGTTCATTTGTGGGGCCCTGATAGAGGGGCCTCCCTACTGCTGCGAGGTGAAAGTGGGCGGAGTCAACTACGGCAGCGGGAAGGCAGTTAACAAAAGGGTTGCCAAAGTAACCGCAGGTGAGTGGGTGTGTCTGCAATGCAGTTCTATTAACCCTAAGAGGTGACTGGGGTGGCCCAACTTTTTGCACTTTTTGCGCCAACATAAACAGGTGGAAAAAATTTTATTTCCTACTTGTTGCAGTATGTGAGGACCAAAGAAACTGTTTTCTATGGTGTGCAAATGTAATACCTGTCTCTCTAGCTGCCGAGGCACTGGAGGTCTTTCTGCCTGGGGCCTTCCCCTCTCATCTCCTACTGCCTGCTGACGACGTCGCCGGCAGACACAGCAGTCTCTCAACCCTCTCAGAGGAGGGACTCCAGGTAGGTGTACCATTTCTCTCCGCCTCTTCCTCTGAATGTGTGTTGGTTCTCCTCACAGTTGTTGTCAGGTCTGACAGTGGAGGACCCGAATGCTCCGTCAGTACTGGCTCGAACAGGATTCCCCTCTCCCTGGCAGACACTCAAAAACTCACTCATCTGGTAATATTCCTGTCTACATTCATAATACACTGGAACCTCTGGAACGGTCCAAATAAAGGACACCTCTCTTCCTTTGTTTTCTAAATTTAGCCCATTTTAAGAATACGTGACTACAATACTGCTTCAACTGAGCCCCCCAGCATGACAAACGTGCCCTTTGGCAAATTGTTCCTCTTTAATCACAAATGTACACTTTTGTCGTTTAGGAATAAAGATTTACTGTTGTCTGACAAGTTGAGTCTTGACCTCCGACCCCTAAGTGATAGCCAAAGCCACGCCTCCTCGTCAGTTCCCGCAAACCACCATTTTGAGTGTGTGCTGCGGTGTGGGGAGGAAGGGGGAGAGGGTAAGGGTGTGGTTGAGGTAAGGGTAACTTGTGTCGGCCGGAAAGATGGACAACAAGCTGCTGCTCAAGCCATGCTAAAGGTGAGGGGATGCCCCTCTCATTAATTGACTCATTATCTCTCTTCTACTGAGACAGAATATTCATCCTTTTGTCACTAATTGGGGGTCGCTACTCAAACTTTATTCCCGTACTCCCCCTCAGTCACCAAGGCAACCGGTAAACTGTGTATAACACCTACAAACGAAAGCAATTAATGCTAATGGTGTAGGAGCTTCCTCCTTCGTCTGTTACCGAGGGGTGTGGCCTGTTGTCAGAGGCGGACCAAAAGTTGCTGCATAGACTGAGAGAGTCAATGTTTCAACTGTCAAGAGAGAGGGGAGGGAGGGAGGGAGGAGGGATCAGAGAAGGCGTGAAACAGACAACGGAAGCAGAGGGGGTAAGTAAAGAGGCTTCATTTAGACTCTCGTTAAGTTGTTTTATTTCAGGGGCAGGCGCAGGAGAAAGTGACTGCAGCCTATTTGCATCAAAGTCATCTTTGTCTGTTGCAAGGAGAGCAGGACTTATCATCTTCTCACCACTGACAATCACCTCACCCCTGAACTGTTCATCATCTCACCACTCATTGTCCAACCTGACAGCCCCATTATTTGACTGATGCAATTCAAAACAGATCATAGATAATAAATACGTATTATAATAGTGATAAAATTAATGATACCAGTGGCAAATAGAAGAATAGTGTTCATATCACACACACACACGTGCTATTCCCATGGGAGGTGGGCCAGCCACTCCAGACTACTTGTGTTTCTTGATGAGCTGGAGAATGACGCAGCAGAGGGTGAGGAAGAAGAGAGAGATGCCAGCGAGGGCAATCTGGTCGTACCACACCCACACACCCTCCGTCTCGTAGCCCAGTCCACTCAGAGCCTCAGTACCACTGATACAGTATGGCTCATACTGCGGAACAGACACACACACCCTCCGTCTCGTAATAATTTCTCTGAGGTTCTTTCATTCATACCAAGGAGAGGAAGAATTGAAGCCCTCAGCGTAAAATTCCCGTCCTCTCAACTCGTTGATGGAGAGTGCCTCCAGTCCGTAGCGGAACAGACTCAGGTACTTGAGCCACCGGAGCCAGACCGGGAGACTCTTCAGGGCAATGAAAAATCCTCCAAACAACTAACAGACGGAGAGAGAGAAATGAGAGATGATGATACTCTGTAATCGGGCCCACCATTGAGAGGACAAAGGCGAGGGCACTCAGGAGAGTAGCCACGGGAGTAACATTGGCGATGGAGCTGAAGGCGTACGTGATGGCGGCTGCGGAGATTGAGACGAGGAAGAGGGTGAGGAGGAAGATGAAGAATTTCTCGGGCTCGCGGTCCAGGTCCAGCATGAAGTAGGTGATGACTGAGAAGAGGAGAACGGGGGCGATCCTCTTGGCTATGAGGTCAGTCACCACTTGGGAGAAGAAGAACACGGATACTCTGTAGTAGCCACTGGCGTTCTCATGACTGCAGTACGTGGAGGACAGGCTTATTCCTCGGTACTGGTCACAAACTTTCGTCTTTCTCCAAGCTTTACTTTCACCCTGCATTATTCCAAACTTCCCCCCTACACTTTCCCCTTATCTCACCAGGCTTGTATTCAACCCTTCCAATCCCGCTGCTAGTAGCTATAATCTCAGGACCTCAGTGACTTACATGAAGAGAGCTTTCCTCTGAATGAAGAGGTCCACTGCAGACATGTTGGAAAACACCTGGTTCATACACATGAAGAAAAACGCTCCAATCCTGCAGACAACCAATCAGCATCGTCGAGATTATACCGTACATTGAATGTTGACGTCAGCTTTAGTTCGCACCTGTCAGTGATGATATTGTTGATACTTTCTAACGGAACTTTCTTCCCTCCAAGGTCAAAGTACACAATCCCGATGATGAGCGCAAAAATGACCATGATGATGATCTGGGTGGATGAGTAGATGTATGACTTCATTAGTGGATCACATGATGGTCATGTGACCACCCTGACCTGGAAGTAGAGACTGAGAGGGTCTCTAAAGAGGCCCACGATGGAGCGATGCATCACCACCATTGTCTGCAGAAAGAGACATCAACAATCAACTGTTCAAACTCAGGGGCAACTACTGTAATTGTACTGCTGAAGACTATGCAACACAATTGTGGCTCGCCCACTGTTGCAAATGCACTCCTCTCTCTTCTATACTCTCCAACATGCAGATGTATTTTTTCTCAACAACCATGCAACTTTTATAACAGAGCACAAAGTTGCAGAAATGAGATTTAGCAGAGGAAGGACAATTGTTACCTGCCAGAGGATGCTGCTGGCATACCCAGCCGCAGGGAGTCTTCCTCCCTGCCCCCTCTCCTCCAGTCTTTGCCACACCTGTCCCAACTCCTGCTCCGTCCTCTGATACATGTCACTCTTCCTATACCTCTCAACCATATCCACTGCCCCCCCTCCTCCTCCATCCTCTCTCTCTTCCTCCCCCAGCAGACCTGGTCAGGACAACCATTATTTAGAGCCCTGATTAGGTGGGTGGAGCCTACTTGTATCCATGGCAACAATTGTGTCGTTGGAAATGCTCTTCTTTTCGCATGTTGTGAGAACGTCGAGAATGAAATCTGCTGGATTTTCATGCTCCGCACACGGAAACCCTGCACCACACACACACACAGAGGCAAAGTGAAGAGAGAGTCACTGAAGTTAAGTATGTACCGAGGCTCTCAAAGTAGGGCAGGACTTGTTGTGCAGGGCCGTGGTAGACCATGGAGCCCCGTGAGAGGAGAGTGAGGGAGGAGAAGAGGGAGAAGATGGAGTAGCGAGGCTGGTGGATGGACAGAATTATGGTCCTGCTCTCACTCAGTCTGTGTGGAGAGACAGACAAGAAAGAGCTACGTGAAGAAGAGATGGAGAACAGGTCAAGAAATTGTGGTTAACGAGGTTCATATCTTCACAGCATTTGGTGTTGATTGGGCTGAGCCAGAATTTCACAAAGGGAGAGATGCGGTCAACGGAGCCCCAGAGCCCATGTGACCTGACCTCTTGAGGAGTTTGACAACAGAGACGGCAGTGAATGCGTCGAGGCCGGTAGTGGGCTCATCCAGGAACAGGACCTGAGGCTGGATGATGAGCTCCATACCAATACTAGTCCTCTTCCTCTCTCCTCCGGAAACACCTCTGAAGAACTCATTCCCTACCTGGTTCACCCGGCACAACAGAACAACAAATGTAAACAGTTTTTGCAGATTTAGGTTGTGAGTTAGTAATCTTCACTTGATGTATAAGCAAAAATTTTTGCTCCCCTGCAAGATTAGTATTATCAATCTCTTTTTCTGCTGATTAATGCAAATTCCACAGACAGGCAGGGTGTACCAGCTACTATCACTATATAGCTCCAACACTCAGCTAGGTCATGCACCCAGACAAAGACTGTTACGTCACAGCCTGTCACAGGTGGGTCCAGCAGGCAGCACTATATTCCACTACAAGTGATGCAATGAATAGTGAGAGTAGTAGTGACCTTAGTGCCAGCACAGGACACCAGACCCAGCTCCTGGATGACTCTGTCCACCCTCTCCTTCCTCTGGTTCCAGGTGGTCCCGGAGGGGAGACGTAGGGCTGCTGAGAATGCCAGATTCTCTCTCACACTCAGAGACCCCATGATCAAATCATCCTGAGACAGCCAGAGGGAAAAGGAGGGGGTGGAGGAAATTAATTACTATTCTACAGTCAGCTATAACTACTGAAGAGTTCATGCATAACACTAGGGAAGAATGTTGCATCACTCCATTGGAGAGGGGTGCTATATACAAGTCAAAAGGTCACCAAACAGAGGCAACTTGCATAAGTGCCTGAAATACGACAGTTTCTGCAGCAAGATATTGTGTCTAGAAAACAGTACTCAAAGACTGCAAACCCCCTAAGTTGTCAGCTCTATATTATGATGGCACTGGTTATGATCAGAGAGAGAGGGCCTCAGCCAAATTATAGCTAACCTGAACCACGTAGCCAGAAACACATTTGAAATTCTTTGGTCTCCTGCTTCCATTGATCAGAACATCTCCCGATGGACCTCTCCTGCCTTTGCGGTCTGCCAGCACGTCTAGCAGCCTGTGGCAAAACACATGGGGAAAATAGACAAACTAAGTCAAAAGGAGGGAGGGTAGTCATTACGTGGTCTTTCCACTGCCTGTGGGGCCCATCAGAGCATTCAGTCCTGGTCGCATTATTCCACTGAAGTGAAAAAAAATCGCTGACAAGACTAAAGACAACATTAGGTAGAGAGGGCAACAAAGACATCGATCGAGACGGCTCACCTGCAAGAACTGATAATGACTTTGGTCCTGCGGCCGCAGAGTGTGGGGACCTCGTAGCCGACCTGGTGAAAGGTGAGGCTCTTCTCTTTCTCAGGGCCCACCGAGTTGGGTCCAGCCCCGTCGTCGCCATTGCCAGCTCCCAGGCTCCCGTAGTGGGGGACCTGGCCGTGGTTTGCGATCGGGGCTTTCTCGTTCACCGACATCCTGTGGCAAACCTGGAACTAAGAGTCGTGCAGAGAGCTCTGGGCGTCTACGAACGCTGCTCTTTTATAAGAGTATATACTCCTTTTATACTAGTAAATGCGCATGCGTTCTAGGCCAAAACCATGCGCATGCGCAACAAGCGCAGCTCAGCAGAGGCGTTCGAAATGAGTGCAGGCTGCGGACAACCGGTATACAACTTGGAGTGGCCTTATCACGGTTGATTAATTTGTTCAGATACCTTTTAATGTACACAGAGACATTGAAAATACGTGATTTGGGATGTATATACTTATAACTAGCACATTGTTGAAGCTAATGACCATGAATAGTAGGGGCAGTGATGTAGTCGGGGTGCCAGACGTCCAATATGAGGACTATTCTTCTGCTGGAGCCCTCGTGGATCACTTCGTGCTCCCAGCTGCTGTCGAATACCATCACCTTCCCCTCCTCCCATGTCCGCCACTCGCTCCCCACCCGCAGCCGCGCGCCGCCGTCGTGTGCTAGAGTAAAATGGGAGCGCAGGCGCTCGTTTGACGGGCCCGTGTGCGGGTGGATGACGGTGCCGGGGTCCAACGCGGAGAATTTCACTAGCAGAAAATCCTCTGCGCACTTTTCTAGCCATTCTATCGTCTTGGGGAAATGTTTTTCCGCCAGTTCTGTGTACGAGTTGCGATCTTCTTTGACGACCAGAGTTTTCCAGTTCCCGCCAATGTTGTACGAATTTCTATTCTCTGCCTCCACGTAGAACAAGCTATCTTCTGCAGCCTGTATCTCTCTCCGTATATCTTCGTATCCTCCCTCGAGGACCTCCGTAAATGGAAATTTACGGGCGTCGTACCACGGCTTGGACGCGATGCCGGGGATGTAATAGCTCACCGGTCGCTGCATAGGATCAAGCCATACTCCCCTGCGTACTGCGTCAGTGAACAGCGCACGCGCTAAATCCTCCCTGCCCAATGCCAGCAGAGCCACTCCGAATTGGCTCACGACCAAGGGATGGCTGGGCTCCAGCAAAATCGCGTCTCGATACAACTGCACCTGTTCTTCCGTTGTCATGCGTAATTCGTTTCTCTTTACGTCGAATTCTCTGGCTGCACTGTCTCTGTCGTCGCGTCTCCGCAGGATGTCCAGTAACACTTGCATGACTTTCTTCGATGTGCCTTCATTTCTCCGCTCCGTCGCATTTTCGTAGGTTGGACGGCTATAATCAAATTCTCTGCACCGCAGGAAAAGCGAAGGGTGAACGGAGAGTTTCTCGCTGAAGTGCCGCCAATGCGCTGTCAACAGACGAGTCATTAGATGGTAGGTGGCGCTCACGCACGCTTCGTATTCGTCCGAGCCGCTTTGCGATTCTTCACGGCTGCAGCAGGTTTCGTGCAGGACAATGCAGGGATCGTCTCCTTCGTGGAGAACTAAATCGTGGCTCTCGTCCACGAACGTCTGCAGCACCACTCGCTGGGCGCTGCAACCGCTGAGGAAAATATAGAGGAAAATACAGTGAAACAGAAGCATTTTTCCGCTCCGGCGTACGCTACATAATGGGCACCAATGCACGATTTAAATAGGCATCGCGCAGTATATACAAAGCGGATGCTGAACACTTTATAAGCACCGCGCTAGTTATATAGCTCGCACTGTTCGCGCATAAACATGGGTCGCCGCTATCTATGCCTCTGCGAAGGAGAGCAGAAGAAGAAAGGTGAATTATTGACTGATGACATAGCTACGTCGAAGTTGTTGAATTTTCACGTCAGTCTTAGCTACGTAGTTGAGTCGGAGCCCAAGAGCTTTAGTAAAACTACAGCAAAAACTAGCCAATCCTCTCTACATTGCAGATCCTAGGAAAGAGATATGTCGCCTGCGGCTCAATTGGTTCTTCATGTTGGTGATAGCTGGTCTCTATGCCATCAGCTACACCTCTGTCTCCTCCTCTTTCCACCAGTTTATCACCAACCCACGGGCCGACAGAATCAACAGATCTCTGTCCAACATGAGAGAGGTATGTTAGGTTGCTCGCTGCAGTGGGCTAACACATTGTAAGAGTGTGGGAAGCCTTGCAGTCAAGCATGTCTGTTGCCTGTGGATCTGCAGATTGAACCTGGTCTTGGAGAAAGCGAGGCATTCTACTCATGGGTCATCACTATATTCAACGTGGGAGCCATCATTGGTTCCCTAATGGGGGGGCTCCTCCTGAAATGGGTTCCCTACTGGCACCTGGTTCTCTCCAGTCTCACACTCCACACTGTCGGCTACATTCTCTATGCGGTGGCCGACTCGGGCTGGCTTGTTATGTTCTCCAAACTTCTATCTGGAGTGTTCATAGGAGCAGAGATGACGCTTGCACTGGCCTACTTTGGGGAGAGTAACCAGACCTACAGAGCGGCAGTGAAGGGGCTCGGGGAGAAGAAGGAGGGAGGGGCTTCCAGAGTGAAACACACCCTGTTTGCACTCCACTCAGTAGGAGTCAACGTAGGGTATGTGTTTGGCCCAGGTACGTTATCACTGCCACATTTTTCTTTGACCAGCACTCATTGCTCAATTAAATAGTCCTACTTGCTTTTCCTGCAATTATACACACAATGACCTCATGCATAACTGAGAACTTCTGTGTATTGGTAAACATTGTGTATACTCCTCCAATTATCCCGTATTATAGGTGTAGCTGTCATATTTGCCCAGTTCCCAATTAACCAATTCCGCTCCATTGCCTGGTACAACGTGGCAGTGGGACTCGCCGTCATTGCCACTCAACTTATCATCTTCAGAGGCGAGAGCTCGTGCAAGAAACTCTCCAACAGCTCCTCAAAATGCAACTCAATCACCAAACAAAAGCCCAAGTCGGCCACTCCCAAGCAGGCATCCAGAATCTCTAGGATTGTGTCCCTCTCAGTATCCAATAATAATTATTTCACACCATAAATGAAAACATAGGGGGAGGGTTTAGTGTCAACAGCTGAAAGACTATATGAGTGTACATTTCCAGTTCTCAATACAGGCCTTGACTGTAATCTCAGATTTTGATATTCCTCATTGTTGCCAGAGCAGCGCTGGGCTTTCGTTTCTGTGTCTACGAAACTCTGTTTAATCCCATCCTCAGCGACTCGTTTGGACTTAACGAGAGGGGCGCCGCTTACTTTTTCTTTGGACTGGTGGCTGCTCAAGTGTGTGGCACAATTCTACTGTGAGTAATAGCTATGAATACTGAGTTCCTCCGTTAGGGATACAATGTGTGAGATTATATTTCGCTCACTTCACCTCTTCTGTGAATTATAACACCTTGGAATGTAATATCGTCTCATGTGTCTTCCTCTGAGGTTTCAGTCATTGGTGTCTGTGTCTGTTCTGATATATAGGCTGGTGCTACAGGGACTCAAGATGAGCAGTCGGCTGATGGCAGTTATTGGCCTGATCATGACAATAGTGGCCACTGCACTCATGGGAGACTGGCAGGCCATACGACACGACACCTGCACAGATGCCTCCCTCTTCCACCACCCCGAACTCCTCCACACGTACACCTCGCAGATGGACAGCGCCCCTGCCAATATTAGTCAATCAGAGCTGGCCTCCAACGCTGGCATCAAGTGCGAGAAATTGAACCTCTCTCTCGGCCTCCAGCAGCACATCTCCTCCACAACAATTGACATCCACGTCTTTCCAAATATAGCAACTGATGATGTAATGGTATCTGACGGATGTGAGGTTATAGACTTGTGCCCGTACTGCTCCGTGGAAGACGTAAAGACGTATTCTGCCACGCCCACTTGTCTCAACCTCCAAGTTAACTCCCGGCAACAATGTCTGGAAAAAACACCTCTATTACCATGGCAACAGAAGAAACCACACCCCCTCTCCACCTCGTACCTGTGCACCATGCCAAAGTCCCACTTTACCTACTGTCTCACACTCCAGCCACTCCGCAACTCCCCAGATCTACAAGTCGCAATTCAGGAAGAAGAAGAGGTGTTTGTAGCCGATATTCATCAGCAGACTGTTCAGATCATGGAGGGTCGTATTGACATCCTGGCATCGCAGGGCTGCCGGGAGCACAAGGCGGGAGGCCACTGTCACTGGAACCCCAGCTCCAGTCTAACTCACAGACACTGTGATGACTGCCCTCCCATCTGTCGAGATAAAACAAACTACCTCGAGTTCTCTCAGTTCACTATCGCTGCAGCTCTCCTGTTGATAGCGGTGCCTGTGGCCAGGGTCCCCATTACTAGCATAATCTCTGACATTGTCACTCCCGAACAGCAGGTATGCTACATGTGTCTTGAGGCTAAGTCTCACCTCTACAACATGTTGTCTCATGTATCCAGGGAATTGTCATGGGACTGGCTCAGGCTCTGAATGCTGTAGCGAGGAGTGTGGGTCCCCTCTGGTGTAGGTCGACAAACTGTAATAATGTTTCCGCTTTGCATACATGTAACCCAAGTCAATAGCTTATTATCCTACCACCTGCCTTTTCTCCTTTCGTATAGTGGATGCAGCTTATGAAGGAATGGGAAAAAGAACGTTCCTAGCCATGGGACTATCTCTGCTCTGTTACTCTGCTATCCTGATTGGGGTACTCCTGGTGTACCCCAGGCTGGCCCCGCCCACTCCGAGCCAGTACTCCACAGTGGGCAGTGACTCCGACAGTAGCGATACAGACTCTCATGCAATCAGACACATTGAGAGTTTCAGTGACTCCGACTTCATACCATGACCCCATCCTTCATAACTAGTCGCTCTATCAAATATATTTATTTCATTTCACAGGCTAAATGACTCATAAACATCTGTACATATAATTATTGTATGATTGAGAAGAGTTGCCCACAATTTAGCCCACAATATGATCAGGTGTACAAGCTGGTTCCACTTCAGTGCATCGCTAATGCACTAGCTATTGCGGTAACTCAAACCCTCCTCCGTATGAGGTATACTAGTACTTTACACTGCAGCTGCCTCTTGGCTCCCAGAGAAAACCCAAGACTTGTTCTAATGAAAATTGGATGCATGTACAACTCAATACGTACAAGAATGTTGTGCTTAAGGAACAAAGCTTGCAGCGTGTTTCATTAGAGCATGTAATGATGCCCATTATAGTAACGACAATATGTTACTAATGTAGGCTCTATTATGTACAAAGACGCGGCAGTTCAGTATATAGGACACTGGGATATATACACTTCTCTAGGTGTTCTAACATCACACAAAACTCTCTTCAGTTTGTTCAGGTTGTTTTGTTCATAGCTATCTCTTTAACAAGCACTGTCATAATAATGTGTTCTCGGAAACTCTTGCTTAACTCAATGCCAATTTTAACTGCCAAATAATTACACATTAGACAGTACATGGTTTTACAATTAATGTTTGTCTGTGAGCTAAAAACACTTTGGAGGTTGCCAGAGTTTTAGTACGAGGATATTGATGGGTCATAATTGCAGGGGCAGTTTCAATCAAACAAGTTACACACAGTGTGCAAGATAGAGAGTTGTGTCCTAATGGTGACAGTAATGGATCAAAACTGGGTGTCTATTGTTGGTCCTAATCTCACTCTGGATGCTTTAGCTAAATGCATGAACATATATACTCATGATGATGTGTCTGGTGGTGGTCCTAACAAGCAGTTTCCATCCTTATAAGGATAAATTTATGGCGTTAGAATAAAAACATGAGGGTGTATCTTTAGATCATGCAAAATGTGGTTAGCCATAATTCCAAAAGCTGGTTTTTATTGGTTAGGAAGAGACTCTTCAACTTGTATGATTATGACCCTGTAATTGAACCCAACTTCAAACAACATACGACCCTCAGTTCTTGCCTGACCTTTGCCAAATAGATGGCACTGCATAGGAAACGTGCTTAACTGCAGCTCTTCAACTGTATGATGTAATTATGGAACTCAGGCCGCTGCATATATTCCGATGAACCATGGGCAGTTAGCTGGCTGCTACATACCAGCACAACCAGAGCCTAGTCAGCTCGGTAAACACACAGATTATCACCCTACAATAAGAAATAAGCCAAATTGGTGTTAGTTCATTCTATTTCAAACCACATTTGGGATCAGGAATGATGTAGTAGTTACTGGTACAAGTGGCTACACAGATGATGTCTTGGCCCGTACGCTAATGTTCATTACTTGACACCTCACGGACGCGAGAAACATGTGACGGCCCCTGCCTCAATTCAGTTGGTCTCAGAGGACCAGGTGTGTTTATATGCCACGTGCCAAGTGCCGGTGTATTGCAAATTCACGGTGACAAGCAGAGCAATTGGCTTTGCTCCGAAATCCAGTCTGCACGTCTGGCCTCGGGGTTGTTGTAGGAATGTCATCTACAGACAGGGCTGAATGCACTGTTAGCTAGCTATGCTTGTCCTGACGGGAGTTGGCAAGGCCGGCCTTTGTGTGAGCACGTGCAGTTGGGCCAGCATCATGCCAGCATGCAGCTAGCAATAAGGAGGCGGCGGCGCAGAGAAAGTTGTGAGCACTCGATCGAGTACGTACGCATGCGCGCGTGCAGACCCACCCACTTTACTCTATTTGACGCTCACCAAGACGCTCGCGGTTTCTCCGACGGACTAAGAGCTGAGAGATACTTCGATCGCAACAGCAATGTCTGAGCTGGACAGAAGGCCCGCAGGGAGCCGTTCCTCCTCCTCATCGTCTGCCGACTCCGACTCCTCCTCCAACGGCGCCGCGCCGCCGCAACCCGTTCTCGGTGGGCGTGGCCTCGAGCTGACTCGACCGGAAACGGAGAGCTCATCAAGCTCGGAGGAAGAAGAGGAGGAAGAGAAAGAGTGTCCTTCGGTGAAACTCCCTCGTGTTGACGGAGGAAGAGAGATGGTGTGGTCACACAACACTGTCAGTAAACCAACACTAAATTAATTTCCTGGTGAAAATTGAGGGGTGTACCCCGTCTCCCAGGACTCTGAGAGGGAGCAGCTGTCGTCAGAGGAGGAGAGAGGAGGAGGAGGGGTGACGGGGGGTGGAGGGAGAAAAAAGAAAGGGAGTGCCTCTCCATCTACCATCCCGCCCTCCAAGTACAGCAAAATCTCATGGAGAATGATGGTATATATATACAAACTTCAACTTGGCAAATCATTAGAATGCTCTGATAATTATATAGCTGTAGCCCTAGAACCTTCATACTATCACTCTGGAATGTCTCCTGGAAACCTTGGAACATATACGATTGTAAAATGAGTTTCATGTTACTCCTATATAGTCAGTTGTAATTATTCATTAACATTCCATGCCTATTTCCAATGAACTGTGTTAATGACAGGAGTCAATGGGATACAAGCCGGGCCAGGCCCTAGGGAGGTCTGGGGTGGGGATCACGGAGCCCATCGCAGAGTCGGCTCAGCTGGGGAGGCGGGGTCTAGGGTTCACAGCCGGTGGTCTGGAGAGAGAGGACGTCAAGTGGGAGGATGAAGAGGTGAGAAATCCTTCTCCCTTCTCTCTTGCCTCTCCTCCTGTGTTCCCCCTTCTTCAAACTAAGTTAGAGTCAGTTAGTACTGCAGTGTGTTGTTGTTGAATGACATTTGCAGTCAAGAGACCGTGTAGCCAAACTGGTTTGTAACAGGATTTTCCAGAAGAATCTGTGGTATTTCAATCTGTGTTATGTTTCTATGTATGTATGTTAGTGCATATTGTAAGGCACAGGGAGTTACCTTTCGTGAGAATTTTAATAACATTCCAACCGAACGTAATAAGGATTTTGTAGTGGGGCTTGCCACTGTCTCCCTGTCTTGCAGGTGAACATTCACCAGAAGGTTGAGTGGCTGGATTGTTCCAGTCTGCCACTCCCTGAGGGAAATGAATTGCATTCGTGGATGGTGGAGGGAGAGGTATGTGTGTTGTGGCTCATAGGTTTGGCCAATGTCTCTCCATACCTATTGATTTATGCTACATAGTAAATCTTTGATTTGTTTGACACAAAATTCAAACCTGAAAAACCAAATTTGATGTGTGTAGTTTGCAAGCATGCCACATGCAAGTGTTTGAAACAATATTTTTAACATTAATGTTACGTCACTGTAACTTGACCACTGGTGCTATACAGTAGCTATGTACACATGTGTGTCTCTAGAGGAAAGACAGTGTTTCCGGAGAGACTCACTTTACTGACCCGCACATTCTGGACAACATCCTTAAAAACAAGGTCACATTCCATTATTTGTGCCCATGTAATGATGTCGTCATTACATCATCAGAGTATGTTTGACAGTCTGTCTCAGAAGGAGTTTCTGAGCGCCCGCCAGAGGTCTAACCCTTACGAGACCATCCGTGGAGCCTTCTTCCAGAACAGGTCTCTCTCTCTCTCCATATTTGGTGTCTCGGATGATGTCGTGATCTCACCACTCAGAGCCGCAATGAAAATGGCAAACATTGACGCAGTCACTGGGTTCATGTTTACCAACCCTAGGAAGAACGATGGGGTAATTTACCTCTCTCCCTCACTCAACCCTTCACTCCATCCTCTCTCCAAATGTCCAGGCTCCACTTGGTCCCCTGGATATTCTGTATTTCGCTGACATCTGCGCTGGACCAGGCGGCTTCTCGGAGTATGTCCTCTGGAGGAGAAAGTGGCACGCAAAAGGCTTTGGATTCACTCTCAAAGGTATCCTCTCCTTTACTCTCTCTCTCTCCTTCTCTTTATTTCTTTCTCACCTCAAGCTTCTCCTCGCCTTTCTCCTTCCTTTTACATTCTCCCCAGACCCCAACTCAGGTTCAGATTTCAAACTTGACTCGTTTAACTCTCCCTGCGAGACCTTTGACCCCCACTACGGAGTGGGTGGTTACGAAGGCGACGGTGACATCACAAACCCAGCCAACCAATCAGAATTTAGGGATTACGTCATGGAGAATACGGAAGGACAAGGGGTTCATTTTGTCATGGCTGATGGAGTGAGTAAGACTACTCTAGAACTATAATTGTAGGGGGGGGGAGGATTAAAGCGTTGGTATTTTTATGAATAGCCGCTTTTTAAAAATGAATAGTCTAAAATATGTGCCTCAATTGAACATGCTACATTCCTACTCGCTATACTACTGGCTTCAGTATTGGCTCTGAGACTTGTTTCATGGAATCAGACTTTGTTATGATTAACTTCAAATGATCCCACTGTCTGGTGGTATTAACCCATGTGGCTTCAGTATAATTTCCTATGAGTAGTGAGTCAAGGAAGCTCAATCCATGTCAACCACAACAACAGATGATTTCACACCATGCACACATTGCTCCATATGTAACACCTCTAGTTCTCTCTCCCCAACTGTACCCAGTTGACCCTCTAGTTCCTCTCTCCCCAACTGTACCCAGTTGACCTTTCCCTCCTTGGTGACAGTATTTCCACTCAGTCCTTCCCCAACTCTCTGTAACAATGTGTGCGTAATTAGGGAACTCTGTGTGCTATAATAACAGAGTACAGGTGTATATGCACCTGGCAAGTTGTGCTTCAAAGAGGTGAAGTTCCAGTTGGGAAGGAAGTGGGAAGTGGTGGTGGGGTTCTGAGGAAAGGTTCAGTCATTGCTTCAGTTGTGTCACGTTTTGTTGATACTTGGTGTGCAGACCAGTAGGTGCTTTTAGTCCATCTACTGCAAACCTAGGCCAGCACATGCTTTGCTTAACAATTTGGATGCTTTTGGCTAAAATAAATAGCCGCAATTAATGGGAACTTTAGTAGTGGCTACGAAGCAGTGGAATAATCACATTTGGTGGTTTGGAAAAAAACTTTCCTTTCTGAGATAAATCCTATACCATACCAGTATACACTTTACTGCTGCAGGGAATATCGGTGGAGGGTCAGGAGAATATACAGGAGCTGTTACTGAAGCAGCTGGTGTTGTGTCAGTACACCACGGTCCTCGCTACGCTACGGCCTGGTACGTATATACACTGACATCACCACGACAACTGTGTATGACATCACCACGACAACCGAGTATCGGCTGTCTACAACCCACACACCCTAATTTAATTAGCTGGAGCCTCATGGAATTAGCTTAAATTACATTCCATTTACGTATGTGGCTAATACACAAATGAGGTTTATGGCAGGAAGCTAATAACCAATGGACATGAGTTTACATTCTCAATTTTCCTGTTTACTGGCCTCGCTTCTCAGGTGGCTGCTGTACGGTGAAGATATTTGACATGTTTACTGAGTTCAGCGTTGGACTGTTTTACCTCCTCTACCGCTGTTTTCGCCGCGTTGCTCTATTTAAACCCGTCACCAGCCGACCTGCTAATTCTGAGAGGTATGTGACAAACTAGGGCAATGAAATGAGATCAGAGGCGGTGAAGTATGGCACCAGCTGCAGGAATGGCCCAATTTCTCATAATGGAATCCTAATTGAATAATGGAAGGCAGTTATAGGTTAAAAGGTCCATCTAATAACTAATTCGTTCTCCCTGTCTCGCCTCTCCCTGTCTCGCCTCTCCCCCATCTCCTTCTTCTCAACCTCCTCCCTCCCTCCACTGTATGTACTGAGATATGTGATATGCCAGGGGTTGAGGGAAGGAGCCGACAGTGTGGCTAACTACATGTACGTCGTCAACGAAGAGCTGTGCAGACTCTCCGGGACCCCCAGAGACATAATTGAGGTCTGAGATAGCCCCGCCCCGATCCACTCACTCCCTCCCTCCTTCTGTCTCTGTATACAGATAGTTCCACTGTCCCTGATGAAGAGGGATGATGTATTCTCAACATACATGAGGGCCTTCAATGACAGGTATGTACGTATGAGTACATAGATATCTGTATGACTATGGCTGGCTCTCTCTCTTCCTCTCTCTCTCTTCCTCTCTCTCTTTCCAGTTTTGGTTTTCATCAAGTAACCCACTTGAAGAAAATCCAATATTTTGTCAAGAACAGGTATATAATATACATATCGCGTCTTCATACTGTCTACTGCAATCAATACACATTGAGTACCACTGCACTTCCATTTATTGCCACTCCCCTCTGTTGTGTGTTTGCTGCAGCACCCTAGAAGACATCAGACAGGCAGACATTAGGAAGAGCTGTCTCAAACTATGGCAGGTATGTAATTCAACTCTCTCCCAAGACACCCTCACAGCCGAGTGGTCTAATTAGTTGATGACATCATCACCCAGGTTCCTGATAACCCTCGTACCACCAACACTGGCCTTGAGAAACCAGACCAAGTCTTCACTGAGCACTGGCTGGTATGTGGACTATCTTTATCTCCACTTCTCCCTCCTCATCTCTGCCTCCCTTCTCACCTCTTCCCATCTACATCCTTCACTAGTTACACAGTAATTGAATGAGAACCGTCCTCTCCTTCAATTTTCACATGTTCCCGTCCCACTCTGCTGTACTTACACAACACTTTATAATGAGGACACGGTAATGTACACATTAGCAACTTATTAATGTTCGCAAAACTGTGATATCTTCCTCCGCCTCTCCTCTCTCCTCTCTCTCTCTCCTCTCTCTCCTCAGAGTTTGTATGGCTCCAGAGCGGAGCCAGAGACCAAGGCCAAGATGGAGGCGGACCTGCCAAGACTCAAGTCAGAGAGTTTCACTGCCGTCACCAGAGACGCTCTGGACTTCCTGAGATGTCTCCACTCGTGGAGGTGGTCCTGGGCCTCCGGGAAGAGGATGATGGTGGTCGGTCTCGGGGTAAGACATGCACCCCCTCTCTCATTTATCTCTCTTTGTCTGCTTGTGATAGTGTATTAAGGTGAAGTAAAACAATTTCTTCAAACTTTAAGATTCCTGGTGTGTTTGTGTTTTTGTATTTTTATGTATAGTCTGTTGCCTAGATCTTATATAATATGCTGCAAATGTCAACATTCTTCTAGATTTGTAAGCCTTGTCTCCCTTCTCTTCTCTCTCTCTCTCTCTCTCTCTCTCTCTCTCTCTCTGCCCTGACCAGAGGAACAGGGTGTCGGGGTGGGACATGAAGGGGGACAAACTGGTGTTCACCCACAGGTCGGAGATGGCTCAGCTGGAACTGCCTCCAGGGACAGTACTGGAGGTGGAGTTGGCTCAGGAGCTAGAGGGAGAGGTGTGTCACATCGTAATGGTGGGGTCTCCCGGGGAGAAGGCATTATGCATGATATTGGCCGAGATAAAACAATAATTTTAGGATCGCTGCACCAACTGATCCCACGAAATCTTCCCATTAAAGATAATCAGGAGAACCTCTGCACTGGTTTCAATCCTGTTTTTACTTACTTAACTTCTGACGAGAGGAGACGTCTGTATAGTGACAGTCTTTGTTGATATGATAGGGTCCTGGTCAGAGGAAACACAGAGTCATATACATCCTGGATGTCTTGGCTATTAACAAAGAGTTCTATGGCTGGAGGCCACTCAAAGAGCGGTATATACTTACATAATGTGGTGTGTACTCCCAGAGTTGGTTTGTCAAATCCCTGGAATTATTTCCGCTGGACAGGATGCAGTACGCCCGAAAGCTGGCAAAGGTACTCAGCAAACCATGCAGAAGATCTCCACTGATCCTGAAGTATGAGTTGCCATTCCGTCTGTGTCGGTTCTTATTCCCAGTAAATTGACAGGGCCAAGATCCATCATCGAGTGACTGATCTCTGCTCTCAGGATACCTACCCAAAGTCAGCTCTCTTCCTACACCTTCCCTCCCCCTCTTCCTCTCTACCATTCTTCTCAGTACATATATACCACATCTAACACCCCCTGATGTAGTAAATGCCTTCCACTCAACGTTCTCTTACTTTCCAGTTATTTTGGGAATTATCTTTACTCTCTACTTCCCCCCTCTCCTCTCTCCCGTAAATTTCTTCCTACCACATGGAAACCTCCCCATGCATGTAGTAAATCAATTGCCGATTTCTCTTCCCAGTTATTTTGCGATTTCTTCCAGGATAGTTAATTTGGCTGACAGAGTTGCCTGGTTGAGCTGTTGGCAACATTGTGCAACCTTGTGTAATATTGGTGGCATGAAATGTGTGACATAGTAGTGTGTGCAGTTGAACAGAAAATGATTCAAAGTGGCCACTGTGGGATATTATAATTTGTAGAACAATTTTTCTGTTAAGTCTCAGAACACTGCACATTTACATACAACTCCTTACTTGCTACATAAACACCAATTACGAAACTACTTTACACTTTCTCACATTTCACAACACAACCCCATATTTACTACGACTTAACAATCGCAGTTTGTAACACTAGCTATATTCCATATAGACTGGAGATGAAGCTATGCAAGGGGCCGTCATGGAAACTGCCGACAGTCCCGGTCTCAGACTGTCCGTCGAGATTCCTGGCTCCCGTCGGAGTCATGTTCTTCAAGATCATCAGAGGTAACTGACCTCCCACCCTTGCTGGAGTAAAGATCCTCACTGAACACACCTACAATAATTTAATCGTTCTGCATTTGCCCTAGTACGTGGGTGTACCTTGACCTTCCTTCCTTGGAGGAACGTGGTTTGTGATGTTTGAATGTGTTGTTGTGCAGATCCCTGGCAGCTGCATAGTGGCAGGAAAGGACTTTACTTCTACGACGCAGCCACTAAAGCCAGTCGGTACGATTGTCCGCCCTCTTCAGTCGCCTCATTCCTGTGAGTTTCCCACCATTATTATACCCCCAGCAGTGGTAACTAACACTCTACTTTCTCTGCTAAGGGACGTGTTGAAGTCGCGACACTTGTGGATGTGGGAGAGGGGGATTTTTGAGGGACTCTGTGAGGTTGGGGAGGAGGGGGAGGAGTCAGGACTCACACGAAGAACACTATCTGCAACTCTCAGTCACTTCATGACACAACACCAGTGACACCTCTTTCACCAACCTCCTTCACTTTCATGCTTCATGTTTTTTGTAATACACTGTGGTGAAAATGCTGTGCCCGCCGCCGTGGATACTGCGCATGCGTAGCCGTACCGGCGCGTAATGCGCATGCGTATTCTCACCTTACGCGGTTTTGTATCCGATTGGAGCGCACCAACATCTCTCCAAGCAGCAATGGAGAATTCATCTCTCTCTGCGGGCGACGAAAGCCTCAACGTCTCTGAAACCGTCTCCGAGGAGAGGTTCTGCTCTGGGGAAGAGCATGTCTCCAGCTGTGTCAGCTACATCGACCAGGTCCGGTGGAGAAATCATATCATGTGTCTTTCTCCCGGTATCTGGTGATGTCGTGGTTTGTTTGTGTGTGTGCAGGAGCTGCGGATGCTGGGTCTGCCGTCTGTAGTGAGGAGAGGTTCCACGGAACTCAACCTTCCAGCGCTGCTCAACACAGTCTATAGGCTTCTGCAGTTGCATCACTCAGACCAGCTGACCGTGGAGGAACTGAGGACTAGGTTTCTTCCCTCTCTTTCTCTCTTTCTCTAACTTACTCTTTGTATTTCTGATCTCCAACCTCAGTTTACAACGAGGAAGGAGCGATGTTCTCATGAAGACGGAAATAGCAGACAGACTAAAGGCAAGACTGAGTCACATGACTGTCGTGTGAGTGTCAGGTGACCATCCAGGATGACCTGCGGAGTGCAGACAAGGAGTTGGCTGGGAGTCAAGAAAAGGAGAGACAGCTCAACATGAAGATTAAGACTCTATCTGGCAAACTGAGGGCAGAACAAGATGAGGTAATGATTGGTGTATACTCAGCGTGATTGAGGTAATACTGAGTGCGGGAATATATAGGCAGATAGAAATAGGGACAGCAAGATAGAAGATGTAGATGAAATTATGCAATCTTATTAAACCTGAGGAATATTAGGGCCACCCCATTTCTACGGTGACCCCTAGAGGCTCCAGCTATTGTCAAGGTAGTCAGGATATTTTGTTGGACTGTCCTTCCCCCCACATATACTCACTGAAAGTATGAGAAATTAAGGCGCCCATTATTACGTTGTTGTGGTATGTTCGGAGACTAAAGACCAGCATGCAGTACAAGGAGACACAGTACAGCCACGAGATGAGGAAGAGAGAGAAAGAATACTCGCGTCTCAAAGTCACACTCGGCCAGGTTGGTGATTCTCCCTCCCCTCCCCACCTCCTCCTCTCCTTCCTCTGTCATTCTAGATGGTGTCGGACAGAAGTAGACAGCGGCAGCTGGGTCTCAGTGTACTCAATGCCCTCCAGCGAGCAGGCGGGAAGAGACGGCTTTGGAACCAGCCCGGGAGGTAGGCCCAGTCCCATTCCCATGTCCCCATACCTCATTCCAGATCTCTGCAGCTGTGTGGAGGAGACTTACAGAGCCATCATCACCAGTTACGAGGAACGACAGAAGGTTATTGTCGGGCAACCAAAATGTTAAAATTCTCTCATGAAAAAAAGATTCTGTGATGCCCTATCTTTAACCTGTGCTCCCCCCCCCAGGCAATATTGGTGGAGAATGGAAGTCTTCGTGAGAGTCTGTCAGTGATGCAGAGGGAGTTGGTTTCTCTGCTGAATGAGCAGCAGCGGGCACAGCAGCCGAAGAAGCCAGTGTCAGAGGAGGGGGAGGAGTTTGGGGGCCTCAGCAGCGGTCATTTCCAGATGCCGTATGACATTGTGAGAGACGGTGAGCTGCCTGTCCTCTAGTGATCTCACTCACCGGGTGTGGTGGGTGTGGCCTCACAGGGGTTGAGAGAACGTTTAGAGACCATCTACAGACACTGAGGGAACAACTGCAGACTGCCACACAACAACAACAACAACAACAACAACAAGGTCTCCCACTACTACTCACACCCATGCTAGTTCTCAGGTGTCCTGACCAATTATAAAAGAGTGTAGGTTTTGCCTTCGATTGTTCTCATGCTGAGGGTAGTGGGTTCATGGGAACAGTGCCGTTTTAATCGCTCCCTCTCATTACAGCAGAGGAGAAGGAGGAAGAGGTAGTGGGAGAAGAAGGTTTGGATGTGGCAACTCTCCAGAGCAAACTCTCCGACTACAGAGACATCATCGGCCGACAGGAACTGATGCTTCAGGTGAGTGTACAATGTACATGTAGAATCTCCTGTAGCAGTGCCGTTCACCAGGCTTCGTTGCCTGAACTAGATTCCAACACCTAATATCATAATGTAAGATATTTGTGAACGCTGTCGCAGTAGAAAAAACACTTTGACCAGTTACCAAACAACATTGTATTAGAGTATTGGATCCAGGCAGGGGGGCAGAGAGTGTGTGTTTGTTTGTGGTGAAATAAGTGTTCTGATGGACTTGGCTAAAGACCCCTCTCTAACTAGCAACCACAGCAAACACACACACACACACACACATGCTGTGGCCACACCACTGCACTCGAGGCCATTATTTCTAATGTGGGACTTGGCCCGCGAGCTCTTCTCTTGACTAATCCACCACTCTCTGTCACTGACCGACACAGAATGCAGAAACCGCAACAAGCGACAGTGAAAACAAGAGTTTGGTGAGAACAAGGGAAGAATTGTAAGTGTACCTGGTGACCCTAGCCAGTCTGATCCCTGCAGAGCGAGAGCTGGGTGTGGAGGGAGAGAGAGAGGATGGAAGGAGACAAGACAGAGCTGGAACAGCTGAGGGACCAGCTAGAGAGGGACAGACATCTCCTCATTGAAGCCGCCAAGAAGCTCGACAGAGAGGTGGGCGTGGTCTGGAGGTGAACCTTGACCTCCGACTCTACCCCCTATAGAGGCAGACGTTTGAGGACGACAAGGTTGCGTTCTTGAAGGAGCAGTTCCTGGACAGTTCTGTCTTTAACAACACCACTGAATGTAAGTCTCTCGTCCCTCTTATCAGTTGCGTACACCAAACTTCTGGTTACGCCTTCTTTAGGAAGAGTATGTCCCTTGATATCTTCTCCATCTTCTGTAGTTGTTTATCAAAGTCTTTCCCTTCCTCCCTCCGTCTAGTGGACTCATTCTATGGCCGACTGTCCTCCACCCCAGCAGCTGCAACCTCGTCAGGCTCCGCCCAAGGCACCACCTCCTCAGGATCCACCCACATCTCCGCCCAAGTCAACCTCCGACATGATCTCTCGCTGTGTTCAGATGATGGGTCACCTGATGTTCTGAATGACAGCAGGTATAGCATCCCATGGTGGAGTCCTTATTCTGATCTCTCCTCTTTCTTTTAGACCTGAGATTGCAACTGATGGAGCCACATAACAGACTGCAGTGACTACAAGCACCGAACATGATCAATCATCAAATTGTATAGAACAGTGTTTTATTTCTGTACATCATTATCAGACAATAGCTGGTCTAGTGTGGGTAAAACTAAATATCATGTACATAATCTCAATTTTTAGCAAATCTAAATTGAACTCGTTAACATAAGAATGCAGGGCATCCGAAGAATGTTGCTCAATTGGCAACGATGATGTTGTGGACACCTACACTGAATGGGGTGATGTTAATTGACAGGAACACACCCTAATATCTTACCATAACATATCTTGTGGTTTTTCAATTTTGATTCAGGGTTTGGCAGTCAGTATTGTTTGAGAGGAGGAGAAATAATTACTTTTAGAGAAGTTAAGTTATTATGCCTCCAGTTGAAGACAGTGAGGAGGAAAAGCCCCTAATGTGCAGAAGGAACAGTGACTACAAAGGTAGCAAACTTGGCAAACCGGCCCAGTGGTGAGTTATCAGGTGTAGTAAGAGTGGGTGGATGGCTATATACGTGCTGAGGGGCCAACCACACATCAGAGTACCGCTGTTTCTAACTCAGAGACCTGAAGCTAGTCTGGTATGGCAAGCAGCTTCCTAAACCTCTGATCATATTATTCCATTTTAACCGAAGTCCGGTACGTGCGAGGATTTGGCTGTTGTAAGTAGAGCAAGAGAGTGTCTGGCCAAGGAAATTAGTGCTGGAATGCTCCAGTGTGGACTGCAGGTATATATTGAAGCAGAAAACGCTCTGAGTCTTAGTACATCTGTTATTATGCTTCTGCAGCTATGAATGATCTGGTGGGACTGCTGTTGCTGCTCTGTGCAGGTAGGCAGTTGAAGACTATCACCTGTTGTCAGAGATGGCTGGTTTACCTACTGCAGCTGTGGGAGAAGCTCAGATCACATGTGTATCGTCTTGTGAGTCTAGTTCCGAGATTGCAGTCGTCACCAACATCAGGGAATGCTGTATTGACAGTATGGGTGGTGGGTTTCGGACGGGACCTAGCGCCTGCAGCTCCTGCAACCCATTCAGAGGTGACCCTATCATTACAATTGTAATTAATTGTAATGGTAATGATTTGCACATCAATTGACAGTCGTGGATCCTCAGATTAGCTTCACGTTTGACCCCGAGAGCCCCATTGTTGGAGATCCGTTTACCGCCACTTGCTCGGCTGAAATCTCCCCGGAAGTGACAGGCAGTATTCAGCTGGAGTGGAGGAACGAGGTGGGAGCTACCATCGCCACAAGTGGAGGAAACAATAGTGCAGTGGTATCATTCACCATCGAGAGCTACTCCATGGACGATGGCACCGTCATTGGAGGCTTCAACTGCAGAGCTGCTATACTAGCTGAGGATGAGATGAGAAACTATGAGATTGTACTGGGGAGGAACATTCTGTTTACATGTGAGGACAGACAACACTACCCAAGTGTGCATATCACAATCATAACAACCCTATACACATTTGCACACACATACATCTGTATTTAGCAAGCAGTTCATCGACCAGCATCACGTCGTGTGGAGATTTCACCGAAGGATCTGATTTCCAGCTGACGTGTACTGTGACAGGAGTCACCAATAGCTCCCCGATGATCTTGTGGTTTGGACCTCCAGGACGCCCCACATTCAGCTCAAACGGAGTGGAAGTAGGAGATATAATTGCAATGGGAAACACGTACTCTCGCAGCCTCCGATTTCCCTCCCTCTCTCCTCAACATGCTGGGAGATACATTTGCATGAACTCTGTCACCAGTAGACCAACTGTGGAGCACCAACTGTTTCTGGCAGGTATGTACCCATCACCACATGCCGTACCACTGTTACATGCTGGGGATTTGGGCCACAGATCGCAGTGTAGTCACCACTGATCCAGTGGCATTGGGTCGGCCGTTCGCAGCACGGTGCAGAGTGACAGTACCAACAGAACTATCTGCCACAGTACAAACAATCCTACTAGGTCCTGAGGACACGCAACTGGCCTCAGACATTGGAGTCAGCAGAGCAGAGGCTGTGTTTCTCCTTCCCAGTCTCCAGGAATCCGACCTCGGCCAGTACAAGTGTCGCTCCTCTGTCTTCTCCAATCAACTTAACACTCCTGTAATGGCTGAACAGAGCTTCTCCATCAACAGTGAGTGGAAATGGGTTTTATCAAACCTCCCTTCTCTTACTCCTCCACTGGTTTTTCTCCCTGGAAGTTGAGAGATGTGCGACTAGTCCAGCAAAATGTACGAGAGTTCCAAACGCAGAGTGCCAGGACAGTTCCGACGGTCCCGTCTGTCTCTGTCGCTCTGGCTTCTTGAAAGTCGTGAGCAGATGCATGAGTGAGTTTTGAGCACTTATTGCCTTGCTAAGATATTGTCCCTCATGCAGACAAGAATGAGTGCAGGATGAATCTCCACAACTGTTCTGAGAACGCTCTGTGCTTTGATACTCGTGGCAGCTTTTTCTGCCTGTGTAGACCAGGGTTCTCTGGGGATGGGGTGCAGTGCGCAGGTTCGTGAGCCCTTCCCACTCATGATTAACCACATGATACGCACCACCACTGAAACCGTGCCAGATATCAATGAGTGTGTGGAGAGTGCAAGTGCCTGCGGTCCTTCTGAGATTTGCGTGAATACCGACGGCTCCTTTACCTGTAGTGGTCAGTGCACCCCGCCCCTGACTCTGCTGGCATTATAGCACAGTCACACCTTTGCAGAGGTGATCCTTGAGCCCCAGACAGTGAATGAGTGTGAGATGGACGATGGACCGTGCGATGCTAATGCCGTTTGCACGGACACGATCCAGTCCTTCAACTGCACCTGCAACGAAGGATACACGGGAGACGGAGATGTTTGCACTGGTATTCCCATTAATGGGTAGCACTAATTACATACACCTACGGGGGCTGGTGTAATTACAAGAACCTAATAGTTTTAGAGCTGGCTGTCCTGCCGAACTCCAGATATTGATGAGTGCGATATGGGAATGGATGACTGTGATGAAAATGCTAACTGCATCAACCTTCAGGGAGCCTATCTTTGTCGGTGCAGGGACGGGTACTTTGGAACTGGATACACCTGCAAACGTATGTATATACAATGTTAGTCCTCTGTGCACGATGGTAATCTGTTTGTTGTTGCGTTGCAGCATTTCAAGACGAGCCAACAGTAGTGACCACTGGTAGGCCCAGTAATAGTGTGATGTCATTATAAATGTGGATTCTCTTGTCTTATAGCTTCAGATGAACCAACAGTAGAGACTCCTGGTATGCCGTGTGAGTGTTTGTAGCTCATCAGAATTGGATACTGTCTCTCAGTTTCAGATGAACCTACAGTCTGTGCAGAGACAGCCCCGGAAGAAGACATGCCCCACAGCCACTCCCACCACACCCGCTCTCGCCACAGCCACTCCCACCAACACCCGCTCTCGCCACAGCCACTCGCCCACTCCCACCACACCCGCTCTCGCCACACCCACTCTCACCACACCCGACTCTCGCCACACCCACTCTCACTACTCTCACACTAGAACCAATACACCCACGGCCCAGCAGCCTCCCTGTGGTAACAGTAACCCAATCAGTGAGTCACCTCCCGCAATCATCTCCTGGTAAAACTCATTACCAAGTCCCACACAGATGATGAGGAAGACACTACAATGAGAAGAACAAGAACACGGACAACCCCTCGTTCAAACACTAGACCAAGTCAGAGTGTATATACCTGAAATCATGCAGTTAACTCATCCTAACAACTTCCAGCAGATGTGCAGCAGGAAGAAGCCTCCTCAGGGACCGACTCAACATCTCAGACACAGAGACCTTCCAACAGTTAGTGCTAAAGCATTCCTTGAGGTTAAACAATTTAGACTATTACTTTTGAAAATTACAGGAGGTTCCAGTCCGGGCACACCCCGTGGGAGATCAAGGGGCACCACGAGCACACCTGGTGAGATGATATATAGCTCTTTCAACTATCAACTGTTGCTATACTATCATTATAGGAAGACAAACCAGCACTACTTCAATTGCAGGTGCGTTGATCAATCAGGAACCAATTAATTTTCCCTAACCTCTCCCTTGTTTTCTCTTCCTCTCTTCCTCCATTTCTATCCTCCACTCCCTCTTCCTCTCTCTCTCTCACTCTTCAGTTCAAGACTCACCAATAACTGAAGAAAGTGGTAAGACATGCTGTACACTCTCATCTGACAGTTCCTCCCACTGGAATCTCACAGAAGACTCGGAGCGATCTCGGCACAGAACAAGAACCAGAGGCCACACGAGAACCAGACACCAACAAGCACCTCAGCCTCAAGGTATAGCTATCATCATCAGCTGATGTCCAGTATACTCCAGATTAACAGGCACTTCTGTTGCAGGAGCAACTGAAGAAACCACAACTCGCAGGAAATCGAGAAAGCGAGGCAGAAGTCGCGGCTAGACCTAGCCGCCTGCATGTTTCCCCCACACACATCCATTACTACAAGAGAACCTTCTCACTTTATCATTACATATCATTATACCACTTTGGGCATTGTATGTGTGTGTTAATAATGAGCACAGTCTCTCTAGCTCAGTTGTTGGCACTGTAAATAGCATACAGAGAGAGAAATCATTTCCTCCAAAGTGCTCTCTCTCTCTATAAGGAGAGTGTTACGACTGTCTGTGGGAGACTGGCAAGCCACATATTGCTGCTAATGCTCCCTAAAAGAGGCTCTGATTAGAGAATTAGAAGACTCGTGGAATCTGCCAGCAACTAGCAACTAGTGACTATGTTGGTGCAGAGGAGACCGTGGGTGGATAATTAGTTGGTGAGAAATAACAAAGAAGACATATAAAAACCGTAACACCATTTAGATCTGGCTCTTCCATGAATGCTCAGTGTTAAACACAATATGTCTGCACAGGGGGTGGTGGTAGAAATGTATGGCACAACTACTGGAGAAGACTGTTGTATAGGATCTACTACTGGAGATGACATAATTAAAATCCTCGAACAAGCACTAATACTTACATGCTCATAACCTCATGTCTAAAACACTGCACCAGATCCATGTGTATACCATATTACATAAGTCCACTGGGTATTTTCCACCCACGTCACATGGGAACTGAGAGGGATCTGTTGAGGGGACTACAGTGGATGCCATGCCCACAAAAGGGGCAATTACACTTGTATGTTGGGGAAGTTTACATGTAAACTGCATCAGTTGCGTCAGCTAATGGGTCCAGTCTGGCCTCATGAAGAGAAAACAGAGGCACAGTTAAAACAGCCTATTTTAACTGCCGCAGTTCTCAGTCCACCCAGTTTTATGTATGAGCAATGGCACGGGTTAAGTCACTGGTAGGTCTGGTGGTGTGTGTGCTGTTGGAGTGGGAGGCGGTGAGTGGGCAGATTGGACAAGAGCGGCCTTGTGGAGAGGACAACTTCTCCTGCCCTCGCATCGGGAACCTCTCTCAGATCCCTCTCCAGTGCTTCACCAGACAAGAGCTGTGCAACGGAATGGATTTCTGTATTAGTGGAACCGATGAGGGAGCAGACATTGCATCACTGAAATGTAAGATGACATCATCCTGTAACAAACTGCGACAATAATAGCTATCTTTCTCGTGTACAGGTGACCCTGAGAGGCAAGAGGACTCGGTGTTTCAGTGTACGCCAAGGATTGTGGTCTCCATATCTGTCCTGTGTGATGGAGTCAACGACTGTGGGCTGGGAGATGATGAGACTACCACTCTCTGTGAAAGTCAGCCTCCCTCTCTTTTCTTCTTCTCACTATATACCACTCCTTTCCACTGCAGACAAGTGTTTGGGGCCATATAGTGGGGGCTGCCCCAGTAATATGGTGTGCAAGACGACAGAGTTTGACGTTGGCTGTGAGTGTTTCCCAGGATTCATACCTGACCCCAACAACAGTACAGAGTGTATCCGTAAGACAACAAACCAACATGAAAATATTATGCTAATCTCAGTTGTGTATCACTGTAGCTGATGATCCGTGTTTAGAGGATTATGGGGAGGAAGACAGTCGCAGTAGTAGAGGCCGGAGTCACTCCACTTCACCCCGGAGTAGGAGTAAGAGGAGGTCAAGGTCCTCCCGGCGTCACTCCACTACCCCAGCTGATGTCCGCAGCGAGTGCAGGAACAAGAGCAGGACATCAAAAAAGACTGGGCCATCAAGTCCTCCAAGAGTTGTGCAAAGAGCCAAGACTCGCAACAGTCGCTACTGGGCCAGGATTCTCAGTCCTTTGTATGGCTTGAGCTTTTAATCAGCATAACCTGAGGCTGTTAATATCTCTGTCATAGTCTGTTCTCATCACACAAACAGTTCAAATATCATTGTAACCATCAATAGAGAGTTTGTTGGCTTGGCAACGGAAACTGTATATAGCCACAATGCAGTCCTAGAAATGGTGTGTGTGGGTAAGGAATGCGGCACACGCCCAACACACTTTATGACGATTGAGATATTGAGTGGGAGAATGGGTGGAGGTTGGCATACCTGACCTGCCAAAGTCACCAACACTTAACTAAAATCTCTCTCTATTGTTTACCACATGCTTTCCCACTAATCTTCTATTGAGAATCAGGAAGTTTGGGACCAAATTTGAACAGGTCCTGGCACGAGAGGCCAACTTTTCTGGCTGCCAGAGCCAACTCTTCTGGCCACTTTAGCATGAGATGTGTCCCTGCCCAGTTTCTCATGCCGTATGTATGAGCTGCCAGGCAACAGTTCTATATAAGAGCCCGCACTCAGTAGTTTACTACATTTCCCACTCTAACTCTGGAGCTCAAGTATTCCCGAGACGGCACAGCTCTCCATAATACTACAGCAGGAGCCAGAGTTTACCTCTGAAGGAGAGGGAGAGAATGACACTAGCAGCAACTGGAGTGTTGCTGTGTCTGCTGATTACTGCGGCAGGTAAAGTCCCTACATCTCTCAAACCATGCCTCCCTCTCTGGACCTCGTGGTTGCAGTTGGCCAGGAGAATGAAGTAGAGTGTCTCACTCAGTGTGGGGACAGCGCTAGGATTCTGGCAGTGGTACCAAACATTCAAAGCTGCTGTCGAGGCATTGGAGGAGGAGCGTTTAATTTCCCTGGATCTGGCTCCGCTCTGACGTGTGACTCATGTCAAAGTTATCAAAGTCAGTAATTCAACTGCGCCTTTGTGTTGGTTTGAGGTTTTGTTTTTTCCCCTCAGACATAGCTGGAGAAATTGGGTTCCAGTTTGACCGTGAGACTTTCACCTTTAACGACGACCTCCAGGCAGACTGTGTGGTGGCAACGCAGGCAGGAGTGGGCAATCCACGGGCAGACATCACATGGCTGGGCCCCGATGGCAGTGTGTACAACAGCTCCCAGGGAGTTCCATTTGAAACAGTCACCAGACAGGGTGTGGTGCAGCAGGAGGCTCGCCTCCCTCTCTCGTTCAGGCCGTTTGGACCAGGAGATGCAGCAGAATACTCCTGTCTTGCTACAATCACCTCTGATGACTTTCCGGGATCAGAGACACAAGTCTTCAGGACAGTAGAGATACCCAGCAGAGGTAAACCACGACACAGTGACTGTATTGAAGAGTTCTTGTTATACTGGTTTTTTCCCTCAGTTGATACATCCACGATCCCAGTCCCAGTGTACCCAAGTCCGGAGGACAATGTTCCTGTGGCAGGCCAAGAGTACACCATTGGCTGCAGCGTACAGTCTCCTGGGGTTCCCCTAACAAACGATGACATTAGCTGGAGTGGTCCCAGTGGCCTAGTCCAAGGCCCCCCAGGCCGTGTGTTTGTTGGTGACGTCTTTCAAGACTCAGCAACTGGAAGGTGGGTCAGGAGGCTCACCTTTAGCCCCTTGTCCACTGAGGACAGCGGTCCCTACACCTGTATATCCCCTCAAGGAACCCGTGTCCAGACGCTCACAGTCAATGGTGAGCATCTCCATTCCCTCACTCACTATCATTACCTATATACCCGTGCCCTCTCACACCAGTCCCAATGCCAAACACCACCATATCATCTGTACCCCCAACCGCTGTGGAGGAACAACCATTGCAAATTGATTGCACCTCAGCTGTCCCTCCAAACCTCCAGGGAGTGGTCACTGTCACCCTCCTGGATGATGAGGGCACTGTTCTTGCTGATAGCACTGGGGTCAACAATGCAGAGGCAGTGTTCAACATCCCCCGAGCATCTGCCTCGGACAGCGGCAACTACACCTGTCGGGTCACAGTTCGATCTTCGTTCCTCAGGACCAACGAAGGTGTCGACCGTCCTTTAGAAGACACTGCCACTCTCCCAGTCCCTTTCACCACAACCCCATCCACTCGTAAGCCACACCCCTTGCTTTTATATACAAACTGAACCCTCTTCTCCCCGTCTCTCTCTCTAAAGCTGTCAATGAATGTATTGAGGGACAAGCTAACTGTGATGTCAATGCAATTTGTATTGATCTGCCGGAAGGCTTCTTGTGCAACTGTAGTCGAGGGTTCTTTGGCTCTGGATTTGCAGGAGACTGTACCGGTGAGCTCTCTCTCTTACCCGGTCCACCTACAGCCAACTATCCTTCATTTCCCCTTGCCGATCCTCCTTCTCTCACTTGCTCTCACTCCAGATATTGATGAGTGTGCAGGCGAATCTGTTGTCGCGTGCTCACCGAACGAGATCTGCAGAAACATCATTGGGAGCTTTGTGTGTGAACCCGAGCCTCCCTCGCCAGCCGTCCCAGACTCACCAGTAACACCCTCAGACACGCCCTCCGAACCCTCACCCTCCCTGCCTTCGTCTCCGATCACCCCAGCTTCCCCAGACACACCGTCTGATTTACCGTCAGTAGCACCCCAGCCGTCTGAACCCACTATTGAACCATCTGAGGAACCAGTTCCTCCTGTTCCGGGTCTGCCAGATCCTGAAGACGATGACTGCAATCTTCAATGTCAGCACCTCAATGCTGAGTGTCGGAGGAACGGTGCCGAAGAGTGTGTGTGCAGGAATGGCTACGTTGGTGATGGAGTGGATTGCTGTATTCTTAGCTCCCTTCTAGATATCCTCAAGAGGCAACAGGAGATGATAGGTCAGGAACACCACCCATTACAGAATGAAGAAGTGTTGTGTGTGTGTGTGTGTGTGTGCAGATGAGGGTACAGAAGACGACGAAGAAGATGTGAGTTCAAAGAAGGGAACAAAGAAGGGAACAAAGAAGGGAACAAAGAAGGGAACAAAGAAGTCCAAGAGAGGGAGTAAAAGGAGGGGCCGGAGGAGCCACAAGAGCCGCTCCAAGAAGAGGAAGAGTTGCAAAGAAGACACGACGAGGACAAGCCGTAGATGCAGTGATAATCTTGATTTGCCAATGGATCCCATGCAAATAAATCCTGCTGTTGTCCTCCTTACTATAATGCTTGAAGATGTCCCCGAGGGTAAATAATTACATGTCCACTACCCCTCAAACTTATGTTGTCTCCTTTTCTCACAGGATGCTATCCACTCTTGAGGTCAGAGGGTATCACGGTTCCATAACGTCAGTGACTGCCGATCATGAACTATAGCTGTACATTAAAATAGAACTGAATCATGAGACTCTGTGTCATAAATCATCATGTATACTAGTGTATTATTGTGATAATCACCGTGGTGTCATGGGCTAAAATGCAACTACCAGTCAATGTAAGGCAAAGGGTGTATGCCTGTGCCAACTGTATTATTGAATCACTTTCCCTGAATAGAGAGCGCCGCTGGCTGGACAAGCATGCCATAAGCCAGACAAGTAGCACTGGCAACAGCTTTGCTCTGAACATGGTCCTAACAAGGACTCAATATAGACATTGAATAAATTATGCACCGCTCGTGGCTAAAGCTATGGGGAGCACTTAAAGAAAAAAGTGTTTGGATGTTAAGTTCCACACTCCAGCCAGAATTAGAGCTCAAGTGAGTCTTGTAGGTGTGGGCAGCTGGGAGTCTGCTGCTGATCCAGTTACTGAGGTGTTTTCAAAGGTGGAGGACTAACAAGGCATGGGACCTTGTACCCCACCCGTCACCTGCCATGCCAGACACACACTCTCAAATGCCAGCAGCTCACTGGATCGACCGTCAGTTCCAGTCGACCTGCGAGCTAGTCAGGCACTCCAACTCCATTGGTGACAGCAAACTGGTGTGTTCAGTGTACTCACTATCTAATTGTCTAATATCAATCATTTTCCCTATCAATATCATTTCATATCATATGCTGTGTCATATAAACACTCTTGGCAGGATCTCTGGCTCTCTGCACACCTGGAGATGAATGGTCTAATAGCGTTTACTTTTCTCGTCTTCTCATTTGGAGGTATATGTGAACGACAACCGAAATAATATCTCGTTGTGAGTTGTTTTCGTGATAGAGGTGGTCTGGGGAGAAGGCCAATGTCTGTCTTCCTGTCGTGGAGAGGCGGCTCTAATTGGAGAGACCGGCAGCTCTCTCTACTGCTGCAGAGAGCTGAGAGGTGGTGGCTACAGGACACACAGTGGTATCTGCATACCCTGTCACGATGACTACACCCCCCTACTACCTTACTCTGACCGTGAGCCATGTACTACATACAATTGGTTGTGGCTACAGATAGCTATACTGAGCCAGGATTGATGGGGCAATATATCCAAAATGTTGGAAATCAAGGCCCTGCAACTTGGCCACAATACTATTGCTCTATACATATTCACTTTGTTTCTCCACCTCCTCCCCCACCTTTTCCTTATCTTCCTCCTCCTCCTTTGCCTTATTCTCCTCCTTCCTTTTCTCCTTATTCTCTCTCTCTCTGTTTTCCAGTAGACGACAAGTGGTTGTCAACAGGAGGCAGTGGGGATGACTGTGGAGTGGGCTACGGAGGAGCCTGCAGTCAGTTTGCCTGGTGCCAGATGGTGGAGGAAGGACTGAGGTGTGTCTGCAGGCCAGGCTTCTCTGGGAACGGGCTGGAGTGTTCAGGTGATCACTGTGTCTCAGAGAGTGGGAGGACACCTCTCCCTCCTCTGCGGGTTGGCCCACTGCATCAGTATACTGACTCCAGATTCATCTTATTATATAGAGCTGGCACACTCATGTCCTTGTGCTGATCAAATTAGTCAGGCAAGGCCCATGAGACGATTAAATCATCTCATATTATGGCACATGTTGCTGTGCCACACTCTCTCAATGATGTAGATATTGATGAATGTGAGACTGGGAGGGACAGCTGTGACAAAAGACTCTACATTGCATCAGCCAGCAGACCAGGACTTGTCCGCAGGACCAGAGGAATCTGCTCCAACACTCCTGGAGGGTTCACATGCTCCTGCAGAATGGGCTTCACAATGGAAGGCAAACAGTGCATCGGTACAAATCCAGAATAATTATTGTTTTTTGAGAAGTGTATTAATGTTGCAGACAAGAATGAGTGCGTGAGTGGTTCCGAGGTGTGTGCGGAGGGTGCAGTGTGTCGTAATCTGGTCGGCTCATACCACTGTAGCTGCCCGGAAGGGTACGAGGGTGATGGTGTAAACTGCTGTCTCGGACTCTCGCTGATAAACCAGCTACTAGAACAAGGACTACTACAACAAGGTCTACTTTGGCGTTACTGCCAACTTTTCCCGAGTATTGTGGGAACGATGTAGTATCTCTGATGTTCTGTACACAGTGCAGAGTATGAGTGAGGGAAGGCAGAGGAAGGGGGGTTCGGGGAGGAGACGAGGGTCCAGACGGAAGAAATGCCACCATACAAGTAGGAGATCAAGGAGAGATGAATCTAGTAGATCATCAACAGTCCGTTCAGCCACTACCATCTCCCAGTCTTCCAGAGCATCCGTCACTGACTCTGCTTCTTTGGCCAGTCGGAGTCCACAATCATCTGCCAGAGCATCTTCAGTCAGCCTCTCCACGCACAGTGCAAGATCACCTGTTAGAGACCACATGTCTCAAGCCAGGCAGAGTCCTAGATCATCTGTCAGAGGATCAAAATTGTTTCCTCACTTTACCAGAGGTGAATGAATACCAGTCCACAATGTGCACAGGCAGAAACACAATGGTTGTGTCTTGTAAAGTCAGTATGTGGCAAATTGTACATTTCACTTGAGAAAGGTCACTTTTACAAACAAATAAGTCACCTTTTTTAACACAATCTATAATATTATAGTGAGAAAGCCAAATGCCTGGTGTCTGTGCATGCATACAAAAATGAAGTAGATCTCATTGTTGTGATGTTGTTTGTAGGTTGTGAGCGCTACGTGAAGACCCGCTCTGGGGGTACGTCAGCTGGTGTCGTCACTTCATTTGGTTATAACACACAACCATTAGATTAGCAGACATTGTTACACAGCAGTAGATGGAGACGGTGATAACACAAACAGATTTGGTATGATTGGAACAGATGATGTAATGTTATTATGACGATGTAATAATATTATGACACATGTATTGTTTGGGGCAGTGGTTGCAATGATTTGCCAGTGACGTGTGTAATTAGGTGGTAAAGTCAGGGTCATTCTCTTCGCTGTCGGAGCTGAAAAACCGCCGTCTCTTGCGAGACTGTTTTGGAGGAGGTTCAGTCTTTTTCATGCTCTTCTTGCTCTTCTTTGACCCCACACTCACCACACTGCTGCTGGACGATGCTCTGGAACGAGATCGGCCCCTGGGGGGATTGGTACTCGGGGCCAGATATTCCCCCGTAGCTGTCTGTACCCCGGGCTCTTCCTGTGTACATTCAGATGGATAGCAACAATATTGAAGACTGAGACTGTAAAGGTATGTGTGGAAGAGGGGGCTGGGTGCATGGGAACAAGGCTGGCTTGCCCATGTTGATGAATGGACCAGGTGTAGCTACAGACTGCATTTCTCATGTTAGATATGCACAGGGCATGCACACATAACATTTGGCAGGCAAAACAAGTCTACCTATTTGTATGAAGTATGAGGCCCTCCCTTTAATTTAATGTCATTGACAGACACCACACCACACCCTATCAGTGTATACTAAGGTCTACTCTCACTCTCACATGCCAGAATAACATCGACCACTATTACATGACTGTAAACGGGAGTGGGGACCTTGGTGGTGGGAGGCTGGTGAGACGAGGAGGAAGGAGGGGGAGGGGCAGGAGTAGTGGAGTGGCCACGTGTCTCCACATCGCTGTCCTCTCCCTCTTCAAAAGGATCCAGCTGATTCATCAGTCGTCGGAACTGCAGGGGCACCCCAAATCACTCCACTACTAGTCTTGACTCAAGTAAATACACAGGCCGACAGGGAAAGTGAAAGAACCAACTTCTGAGTTCAACTCCCAACAAAAATTGGTTCTTTTTCCTTTCGTCCTGGCAGGTGAATTTCTAGAGAATACTATTGCCACACCAGTCCAGAGTGCATGTACCAACCTCAACATACTGCTGGAGGTAATGGTCCTTTGACCTGGGCGGAGCCCCCGGACTTCGCTTCAATTCCTCCAGCACAGAGCTGGGGTCAAAGGTGACTCCTGATCTCCTGCTGACTGCTTTGTCGTAGGTTTTGTTTGACTCGGTCGGCGAGTACTGCTGGCATTTACTGAGAGAGAGGGAAAGGAAGAGGGAGAGAGGGAGAGAGAGGAGTTTAGAACTAGTAGGAGCAATAATTGAGTGTTACAGTTCGTTCAGTAACCAACACACAATCAATAAAACTTCCTTGTTTCATTGTCTGTGGTTTGCTGGCTTTGTTTCAGATCGTGAAGACAACTACGTACCACGTAGTAATGGGGTATGTACCTGTCAGTGAGTCCGCACATCCTCTTGAGGTGTTGTTTGAGGAGGAGGAGGAGGAAACAGGCCTGGGAGCTGCGACAGCACTCTGCCAGGTGAGCCAAGTCACACCCTCGCTGAGCTGCAGGGGAACGAGGGAGGGAGGTGGGGGCCGAAGAAGAAGAAAGAGGGTGACTTACACAACTGAGCAATGTCTTCTTCTTCCTCCCCACTCGGAACTGCTCCTGTACCACCCAGTGCCTGCATAGAGGGATCACATGATAGGCGCATGACTGGGGTCACATGATAGTCACATGAGAGTATTCACACCTCTCTAAAGGTCTGGAGTATGATGGAGCCAGAGACTGAGATGGTCATGTCAATGTTGTGAACCACAAACAGTGGCTCCTCGAGAGTGGAGTAGGGACAGTAGGCTAGGTTGTCGGCCACGTACAACAGCATCCCCAGAGAATTCCTCTGTGAACACCAGGTACAGAGAGAGGAAGAGGGCTAGCTAGAATGGCGACATTCTGGTGTCACCGGTCAGCGCTGTACCTCGTAGTCTTCAAAGTAGCGCAGCAGAGCTCTCAGGAAGGCCCGGCGATGTTGTTTGTTTGATCGCAGTAGAGAGTAGAGGTGGGCCAATAGAGCAGTGGGGGATGAGCCGACCTCTGTGAACCCTCGGGCTTCTCCCTGTACCAACATAACCACACCCACCTTTACAACGCTGTTAACCCCCCACACTTGAGTAAAGACAGACGCCACCGACAAACAAGTGTACACTGAGTGGAATTCCCACCAAAACTTACTCCAAAGAGGAGGCGATGAAATGTATAAGATTTCTTGACCCCTGCCATTAGAGTAGTCTGCGTAATCGGAGGTCACACAGGTCAGAGTTCAAACCCCACTCAGAGGTCGAGAGTGGTTTACCTGAACAAAGTGTCCGTATCTACTGGAGTGTTCGGAGAGGTGTTGGTTGGCCTTGATTCTAATGGAGGACTCCGGGTCAGTACTGATGGTGATGAGGTAAGGGATACACTGCTCCGGGTGGACCAGACCCTGTCTGATGATGAGCAGCAGGACCTGTACCGCCCCCAGTCTCACCTGGTGGATGAAGGTCAGGCCTACATTGAGAGGCCAGAGGGAGGGGGGGGCTGTACCTGTAGCTCTGTGTCAAGAAATGACTCCAGAATAGCAGACAGAAAGACCTGAGCAATGCTGCTGCTGACACTGGGAGAGGAGAGATGGAGGTGCAAGGAGTGAAGAGAGAGAGAGAGTTACTTGGACTGCTGGTCTCCAAACTCCAACAGGTTTTCCTTGTCCTCCTGCTTGTCTGAACCTGACACAACACACACACACATCAGCTGCACCATCCTCCTACAGAGTAGTGTGTCTCTCTTATACCTTGCATGTCAGCCACTTTGAGTGTAGCCTCCACCTCCTTGAGGTGTGACTGGAGGTTCTTGAGAACCTGGCATTTCTTCTTGCTGGAGGCCCCACTGGCCAGCCACTCCAGGTAGAGATCTCTGGTGGCCATCTCCAGCATCATCTCGGGGTACCTCACGCAGTAAAATCCCAGCCCCGTGACCGACTTCAGCTGAACCTCTTCGTCCTCGTGACGAGAGAAGTACACCAGTTGGGAAAACACTCGCTCACTCACTGGGTTCTCCTGGCAAATACACAAGATTTGCTAGACAATTTGTATAGGCCAATTTCCCTGGGTGCATGCACACATCCATGCTACATGTCTTCCCAACCCACAGTGGAGTTCTACTGCATGTGGCCTTTTGCAAACACTACATTTGTGGGAGAGTAGAAACACATTGAGTAGTGTGTGGAGGGGGGGCACAGACCTTGGTGGAGGAGGGTAGGAAGGAGTCCATGTCAAAGTGTTTACAGAGGAGGCCGACTGTAAATGTGGAGCGGAGGAGAGAAGGCCTCAGAGCCTTCAACTGGGGGTTCCCACTGTTCTGAGAATGCAGCGTATTTACTCTCTCCAGTAACACTGGGGGAAATGGGACATGAGATGGAGAGATGTGGGGGTTATTAAAAGGGTAAATTATAGGGTGGGCACTCACAGTAGAACTTTTGGAAACAGTCTTTAACGAGAGGATAGTTGTGAGTGACGTTATTGACCACTGCTCCCAGGCAGTGGATACAACTCTGCACAAGCTATGGAACACAACACAACACACAGAGACAGAGAGAGAGAGGGAAAGAATTGCTGCCTCACTAGCTAGATGTACATACATGCATTATCATGGCTCACCATCTGTCCGTGTTTCATGACCAATTTGACCAAATCTTCCTCGAGAGAGGCCAGAAATGATTCACTGGGATGTTCCATCAGAGGAACCACTTGCCTCAGGATCTGTGCCACGTAGTGAAGGACCATCATATCTCCTTGAGACTGGGAGCAGCAAGAGGTCATCACATAATATATACACTTTGCAACTTTGTTGGGCGAGACAACTTCAACGTATAGCCATGCCACATGTTGAAATGCCATAATTGTTAAACATAGCTTTTTTCATTACATATGCATGATATGGAGTTAAGACACTGGGAGAGGGTCTTACAGAGCATTTGGAGCTGAGGTAAGGATGGAGGGTGGTGGCATGACGCAGGAGAAGCTGGGGGCGTGTCTTACAGAACAGGTAGAGGGTCGTGACACACGTCACCAGACGAGACGAGTTTTGAGCCCCTCCCTGACCTGTGGCTGAGGTGGGAGAGAGAGAGAGAATCATTGTTGCACTGACATCATGCCTGCTGCCTAGTGTTGCGTATGGAGCACATGCAGTAAACCATTCTCACTGGTACAATAATTATACCGGAGGTCTCGTCAAGGGTCAGCAGAGTCTCCACGAGGCAGTCAACCATCATCTGACACACTGTTAGTACCAACTGGACTGAAGACTTGTCGTCCGTCTTCAGGAGCTGCTGGAGCAGCTGCTCAAACCACTCGTACTCCTTACAAGACCCCACCTGCACAAAACACAACATACGTGACCTGGTTTAAGAGTAAAACCTCTGAAAATGGACCCTCTGAATGAATAAAGGGCACCTCTCTATACTGATCCCATCTTGAACAAAGGCTAAATTAGAATGCTTCGAAAAAGTGAGTAGGTCTTGATCATTAGCACTCCGACAGCTTAAAGGACACTCGGTTCTAGTATACCTGTCCACTATAGAAAGGAGAGTGGAAGTAGGGAGAGCTCACCACTGCAGTGACTTGTCAACTCTCCTCTCCAGAGACTCTCTCTGTGCAGCTCCAGCTGGAGGCATGGTGAACCACAGCTCTCTGAACACACTACTCACCAGTTGCTGAGGGTGTATATATGTACAGTAACACTTGAGGCTCATTAGTACCAGGTAATGAAGGGGGACCTTGATTCCCTCCTCGTCAGAGATCCTCCTCATTATCTTGACACAGATCTCACTGGTCTTGGGGAACTGAGGCTGCAGCACACACACATCCTTCAGAATCTTTATAACCCTCTTCCTCACACTGACACCTGTGTCCTTTGGAGAATGGAGAGTGAATTAGAGAGGAGAGGGAAGGTTGCCAGATGGCTGAGTAGACTGACTAGTATTCGTTCACTGAGCATGTTGTAGTATTGAGCAGTGAGCTCCGGGCGACTGAGGACGGAGCGACCCAGCAGGTCCACCGCAGCTTCTCTCACCAGAGTGGACTGGTCCATGAACCTGCACTGGACTGCCCTCTGCATATCAGGCTGACGACAGTAAGAGAGACAGTGTTACCACAGTAGTTGAGATAGAGAGGGGGCGAGTATACCCGAGAGAGAATGGAGGGGTCAGAGTCAATGATGCAGGACAAGGCCTTCATGGCTCTGGTCCTCATGCGGACTTCAGGCTCACTCAGAACTCTGATCAACTGCAGTGAGACACACATTCTCCAGTCAGTAAGTGTTTCCCCATGATCACAGGGGTAGAGTACCTGCTGTAAGTAGACATCAAAGCTGCGACTGAGGGCTCGAGAGGAGGCCAGGTACCTCACCACAAGACCTGCACTCTTATCATCCAGAACACCCTCCAGATGTCTGTGTGTACAAGAGACAGCTGACAGCTGACAGAGACTGTCTCGGCTAGAGGCAGAGACTCACTTTAGCTCCGACTGGTTCTTGGTCCCAATCAGAGAATGGAGGGTCTCCTTCTTCACCTCTGCCTGCTGGAGTGCCGCCGCTGAGGAGCTAATGGCAGGGACATCCCCGTTCCCGTCGGTGGTGATTGGATCCATTTCCTCCCCTGCCTCTTTCATGGCTTTCTCTAGCTCCAGTTGGGTGTCCCTCAGCCACTGGCCGAGGTAGAAATCCCTCGAATACTGCGGCAAGTACAACAGAACATCACACATATCAGAGAATTAGACTGAGACCAGCCCCAGATCTTGACATATTGAAGAACACATTGAAGAATGTTAGGGTACTCTCCAGTATATATACGACTGAGTGCCACCATTGAAAAACATTTCAGTGAATAATGAAACTTACAGCACAGGAAGGATCAGTCTGGCTGCGTTTGTGCAGGTAGGCAATGAGAGCCTTCTGCAGGTGTTTACTGTTCTCTGAGAATGCATCCTGACGCACACACACACACACCACACACAGGAAGTCTATTAGTCTCTCTGTTGTTTCATCTGGTACTTACCATTGTGAGAAGCATGGTAGGAGAGGGGGTCTTGCGTTCCAGTCGACCCTGCATCACCTGTACACACATACACATTGTATGTACTACCATTCACAGTAACATACACACTGTGATACAGAAACATTTGCAACCGTGAGCTACATTGCTAAAGTGAAAAGCTCGCCAATGATTTTCACCACATAACATACACATGTACCATTCACAGCATAAACCAATTTGCGAGCTACAGTGCCCCACAAGTCAAAAGCTCACCAATGCTGTTACCACAAGATATTCTCATGTCAAAACTGGCAATAACATGCTAAAAAATTACAGCTGTGATGTTGAGGTGTGTATAGCTCATCACCTGAGCCAGGATGGAGACGAGGTCCCCGTGCTCAGTGTCCACACTGCTGGCAGCGTCCCTGCGCAGTCTGGCAGCTATGACTCCCAGATGGTCCAGAGACGTCACCCTCAGACTGTGCTCATTGCTACGATTACTGAATGAGTGAACCTGTGGGAGAGTTTTTAGGGGCTAAATATTGTGTTTCTTCAATTACGAGAATGAGACAATGTGCATGCACTGTGAGAATTGAAATTTTGCAGATTACTTTAAAAATTCCAGAGAATTTTATAAAGAGGAATAGTAGGGATGGTATATATAAAAAGAAAGGGAGACAAGATAGGGATGTGTATGAAGCATGGTTTACGAGAATGTAATTTTGGCATTGGAATGAGAAATTTAGACATAATAATACGGTAGGTAGGTACAGGGGTTCTACAAGGTGTACCAGGAGGACTCCGAGGAGTGTGAGAAGGACCTCACAGGCTGGCCATTCTGGGAGGTTGAGGGTGGTGAGCAGGTCCTGGACAAAGTTATCAAACAGCGGTCTGAAATCCTCCTCCTCTTTCCCCCCACAACACCTGACGACAGAGACAGATCAGAGGAGGTATAGAGATGTGAGTGGCTGTCTAACTTTTTCATGAACGTGGAGAGAAATGTCTTCCCAGTGGTGAGGGCCAGCTCATAGCTGTTGACCATCTGTACATCAGGATCAGCCTGGAGAAACACACCACACACACACACACCATATGAGATTATAAATATTTTCATGCAACTTCAACACCTATGAAAACCCAAGAAAATGTCGTTGTAGTTTATCAAAATCCTAGTAAGTTTGAAAAAACTGACTTCAGTTGAATGAAAAACAGAGGAGACCGTACTGACCTTCGTGGGAGAGTCTGAGGCTGGGGTCAGTGGGTGTGTCAGGTCGCAGGAGGGGTGTGGTCAAAGAGCTATCATCAGGAGGACTGACAATACACTGAACCAGTTGTAAGATGAGGGCCGTTACCATCTGGACACTGGTCCCATTGGACAACTGCGGGGGTGGAGTCAGGGGGTGTGGTCTCTGGGGGTGTGGTCTGACTCACTTGAAGCTGCGGAGGTTCCTCTTGGTGGTGGGGAGTCTGGCGAGAGAGGCAAAGAGGTCCTCCAGTATTAGGTCTCTGTGTTTCTCATAGCGAGAGAACACCTGTGTATTATACACCAGGGAACAACTATGTACCATAGAGAATAGGATGGTACACTACTCACAGCTCTGACTAGTCGAAGTGAGCTCAGCTGGAGGGAACTGACATTCTCCACAAAGAATGGGAAAGTACCCAGCGATGAGATCTGAGAGGAACAGAGAACATAGTGTGTGTGTGAGTACGACTTCTTTCAGAGAATTGTATATGACGTTTTATCTGCAAAATTTTTTTGAGAAAAGTTGAAGTATCCAGCTCTGTGCAGTGTATGAACCTGAAGGACGGTGGTGTCAGTGAGTGGCTGTGTCTCCAGCAGGAGGGCCAGATTCTCCACCACCTCAGTCAGCTTCCTGTACACGGCCTGGACGTCTCTGTTGGCACTGTGCCCTCCTCCCTGCCTTCTCTTCTGCCGCGGGAGAGCTCCTCCCTCTGCAGATAGCAAGACAGTGTATATGACATAAGTGATGTAAGCGCTGGCACGGATAAGATTATGGATAATGCCAGTTTTCAATAGTTGCAGTGCATTTTGTGTGGTGAACGCCATCAACTTGTGGGTCAGCACTCTACATATACGTAATTTGCACATTTGTGCTCTTTAGCTATCACAGAAATCACCTCTCACTGGTTTACCTTTGGTCCCGGCTCTGTAGACAGGGTCAAACTCGGGGTAGATATTGTTCTCAAGATGGAACTTGGTGACTGAGATGATCTGCTCCAGACTCTCCTCCTGGTGCACATTCTTGGGCATGTTGGGAGCAGTGTTGATGTGGAGGACGGCGAGAGCTGCATCCAGGGAGCGCAGCACTCTCTCTCTGATTGCCTCTCTCCATGTCCGCACATCTCCCTCCCCCTCCTCCTACATACAACACAGAGACTTAGTGACAAAAATTGTTGGCGAAATTTAGTCAATATGCATAAAGTTTTTGGAAATTGCGAATGTGTCCACAAACTGTCAAATTGAAGTGACTGTCAGTTACACTATGGTCAACTCACAGGGAATGTGTTCATCTGTAGCTCTGCACTGTCCAGTACATGTTTGTCCATGATACCAATCAGCCTTACCAGACTATCCACTGATATCTGTACATTGACACGCACAGATCAGAGAGAGGTGATGCGGATCAAGACTCACCTCGTGGAGGAGTAAGAGTTGCTTCAGTTTGCAAGTCTCCGCCGCCACATGGACCACCGAGTTCCTGCTCAGGAGGTTATCTGTGGAGAGACATCAGTGGAGAAAGACTGCATTAACTTAGGGGAGAGACTTGTGTAGTTCAATTTAAGGCAAAGGCAAGGAGTTAAGGGAGAGAAAAAAACAGTGAGATTGCGGAAAAGAAAACGACACAATTACGGTATGGGTGTTGAGTATACATACCATCAGAGAGCTGGTCCTCAGTGTCCAGTAGTGAGTCCACCATGAACGAGTAGTGCTGGATCGCTGCCAGTCTAGCTGGGTCTGAAGGACACACACAGTGAGATACATTGGCAGACACTCGAGTTAGAGTAACTGTACCTCCGTGGTGGGACTGACGTCTCTTCTTCTTCTTGACTGGTCTCCGAGGCTCAACTGATGACAAACAGAATACCGTAAAAGTGTAAAAACTTTTAGGTCCATATTTATACAAATTTTGGCCCCATGAGAGAAAAGCTCACTGGGTTGGGAGGGGGGTGGGGCAGTCATCATAGTGAAGCTATTGCTGCGAGAGGGAGGAGAGGCAGTCTTGTTGCCCAGTGAACCAACTATCTTCCTCCGCTCCACTCTCACCACCATGGCCTCGTCCTCCTTCTTCTTCTTCACCTTCTTCTTCACCGCCCTCGCGGAAGACTCAGACGTGACCTTATGGCGCTGTCTCTGCTTCAGTCTGGACCTGTCAATCGAGACCATCATGGCACCTGCGGGGGCTGGCGGTCTGTGGGGCTGTTTCTTCCTCGCTCTGTCGTCTGAGTCTGTCCGTGACAGTCTGCGACTAGAGCTGCTCTTCTTCGGGGGTTTGGAGTCCTTCAGTGTATCATCTTGTTTGACGGTTGGCTCATTAGGGACATTGGCTGCCAGCAGAGGGACATTGGATGTCGCCTCTGTCTTGACTGGACTGGAGTACTTGGAGGAATCCAGTCTGTTGAGTCTGAGAGTGGGCTGAGGAGCGAGTCCCTTGCTGAACACAGAGTAGACCAGTGGAGGGGTCTGTTGGGTGGGTACATACGGCTCAGAGGAGACATGGCTCTTTGGCTGTCTGTAAGAGAAACAGTTCTGTCAGTATTACTATGGAATAATAGTGGGGGCCTCACAGGAATGAAGTGTCGACAGAGAGGAGAGCTTTGGTGATCTTGTTGCAGAGGCCAGGCTCTGCAGTGCTGAGGAGTTTGCGTGACTCTGGGCTCAGAGGCAGCTCCCCTCGGACACATCTCTCCAGAGGTGTCGGCATGTGGGTGGGCATAGGGAGGTCTGCCAGTACTAACAGAGGGGACACAGTGAGTGCTGCAGGATATGTGTACTTGCATTGGTGCGTGTCTTACAGTCGGCCACGGGGGCAGTGCCCACTAGGCTCGTGAAGAAGTCTCTCCTGAGAGTCGAAGCCTGCATTTCCAAATAATGCGCATGTAACAGACCACACCCTCCGAGAACAATTGCGTCTTTCTTCGGGCAGTTCAGAGAGCGTTTCTCCCTCGACCCAGGCCCCTGTCGACGAGAATGAAGCCTTCTCTAGCTGCCAGCAACTCACACACAAGCCAGAGAAAAGACACATGCGCGCGGCGCCAACATTCAAAATCATTTCCCGCCAAATTCGGTGCAAGAACCCACGTGTAGAGATGAGCGAAGAAGTGGTGTTGTCTTGTGTGTCTAGTTCTGGCGGTAAGGGAGTCAAGATAGCTGCCTGGTCACCTGGGAAAGGTGCTATCCAGCGGACCTACAGCAGCGAGACCGAGGGGGGCGGGGCTGCACTTGCCATGCTGGGGAAGACACACATTATGTGTGCCTTGAAGAGCATCCCGTTCATTTACGTGTGGCACGTGAGGAAGGTGAAATGGGAGACATTCTGTAAGGTCTAATAAGTAGTAGATGGACCCCCTCAGGAGCAAGTTCTGATGAAGATGGCGTGTCCAGGCCTCGTGAGAGCTCTGGCTGTAAGTCCTGACTGCGTCTACTGTGCAGGAGCCATTGCTGACAAGATTCACATCTGGCAGGTGATGGTAGAGATTACTCTGCTCCTCACACACATGCTGTGTTCCTGCAGGTGTCAACAGGTCACCTGTTGGCAGTGGAGGGTCGACACTACCAGCCGGTGTCAGTCCTGCTGTTCACTGATGATGGACAGTCCCTGGTGTCTGGAGGAGAGGATGGCAGAGTTCTCGTGTGGAGCCTTCAGCGGTGCACCACTCTCCTTTCTCACATTCCCTTCTCTCGTCACTCTCCTCTCCTTTCTCGCTAACTCAGGTTGGTCTCGCAGGCATTTGACTCTAGTGGTGTCTCCCTGCCTCACTCTGAGAATGTTTCCATGGGAACTAGACCACACCCACCTGTATTACATCACACCTGGAGTGACCACGCCCTCCCAGTAACGTCTCTCCACTGTGGAGCTGGAGGACTGAGAGCAAGACTTGCCTCTGCCTCTCTCGACCAAACTTGTAAGGTTAGCAACATTACGGCAGTTGCGATTTTGATGATGTAATGTGGGTGTGGTCAGCTCTACGACATGGCTTCCGGGCAACTCCTCTGCTCAGTTTTGTTTGGGTTTTCCCTCACTGCTGTTGCCATGGATACAGCGGAGCAGTGGCTGTTTGTGGGTGGAGCTACGGGAAGAATTAGTCGTGTCAATTTAACATTGCAGGTGAGAGTAAGTTCCTCACATTTGTAAGCTGTTTTGAAAACAACTTTTTTCAGCGGATGGCTCCATTGCATGGCATGTCAGCTGCAAGTATGGCAGACAGTGGATTCAAAGGACACACGTAATAATTTATTACACCTCATCTAGCGTGTGCTCCTCCCACTGTGTCATGTGACTGTCACATGATCCAGGCAGGCGGTGACGAGTCTGGCAGTGTGTGATTGTGGACTGGCGTCTGGATCAGAGGACGGGACATGTAGGCTCTGGGACATTGCCAGTGGTCAAGCTACTAGAGTCCTCCAGATGAAAGGTAGACCCTGTCATAATAGATCATCCTACTGTGGCTGAATTGATCTAATTAGGAGGAGTGGTTCAATCGCTGGTAGTGTGGGGTGTGGCTCTGTCGGGACATGGCAAAAAGACAGGTCCAGAATCTCAGAGTGTGTTCATCGCTCCATTTCACAAACAGCTGCTGTACACCGACAAGAACACTGCTCTGGACTGTGGACAGTTTGTGCTGCGTCGCACCATCGATCCGGTAGGCCAGACCTCCCCCATGTTTACAGCTAATCATAATCATTTCCTCTCATTCACTACAGCTCTCTGATTTTGGTGAGTCTGAAGTAATGTTCCGAGTGTTTTGTGAATTGTATTGCAGCAAGTCTGGAGTGTGAGGCTGGGTTGAGTGTGGGTCAGTTGGCCCCAGGTCCTCCAGAAGATGGAGAGGCAATGCAAGTCCACAGGCTGAGGGAAGACATGACTCATCTCAGGGACATCAACAGAGCTCTCTACTCTCTGTTGTCAGAGAGAACTGCTCTATCTCTCTCACACTCCACTGATTGATATTAACTGTTTCATAATCATTGAACTCACTAACAGTCATTTTCTAGCTGCTGTAAAAAGATGCAAAACTTCAGTGGCCTATATAAACCTAAAGCTTCCAAGCATGTAAGAGTAGTGCAAAAGCCATACTTGAAGTGTCTTAGTGTCTAGCACTGTATATATATAGATGAAGGTTTCTAAACTTGGTTCAGACTGTATAACATACAACCATCTCTTGTTAAAAACACACAAAACAGAGCAATCAAATGGGGGGTGTGTGGTGCCATGGTATGAAGATTGATGACAGGGGCATCTGCTAGGTGGTATTGGCTGACTCACAGGCATCCACCCAATCACTATACACATCTACAGCTTCTGACAAATCTGTTGATAAACAAAACCTGAGGAGAGTAAATACACTGGTGAAAGGGACTGACAGTTTATGGGAGTCTGGAAATCCTCCAGGCACACTCTGCAGGTGATGAGTCCTGTATTCCGCTGACGATCCCTGCAGGACACTCACGTGACCCATTCTACCACACAGAGACCTCTAAACAGACACTTACAGTTTGACTTCGCAGGACTTCTCGTGGTTACAGAACGGGCAGGTGAATTGGGTGTCCAGCGGTCCTGTCATTCTCTTTTTTGGTGGAGCCTTCCTCTTAGATTTTCTTCGACCCATTTTTCCGCTTCAGACTACTGGAGACGCTCGTATTTATCAGACAAAGCAGGCTTTGCAACTTCACTTCAAATGGTGCAATGCACGTTGGTGCTCTAATAAAAGCCCACCAACACTTTCGTATATTTAGAACATCACAACTGAGTAATTTTGAACAAGTTATGCCACTCCCACATCCCGAAAGAGAGCCAGAGAAGCACTCTGCTGAGCAGTTGAAGAATTAGCAGAGAAGAAGAGAGATAGCTCGGTCGGCGAGTGAGTGAGAGATGCCTGCCTCTGCGCTGTACATCCTCGACCTCAAAGGAAAGGTTTGGACCTCAATAGCTACTGCAATCGGCTGCGACTGGCGAGTCTAGTTAGTTAGAGATGTGTCTCTGTGTCCGTGTGCAGCCGGTGATATCCAGGGACTACCGAGGAGACGTGGATCTGTCGGTCATCAACAACTTCCTGCCCCTGTTACTGAGTCTGGAGGAAGAGGGTATGGCTTCCCCCATTCTGGTCCACGAGAAAGTCACTTTCGTCTACATCAAACACAACAACCTCTACTGTATCCCAACACCCCCTCTGTGCAGTTATAGGACTTGTGCATATGTTGTGTGCTGCTCTCTCTATTGCTTCTTTGACCTTTACCAACCAGTGGTTGCAACTACCATCAGGAACGCCAATGTGGCTCTCATCTTCCAGTTCTTGCATCGCATAGTAGAGGTACAAACTTAGCCTGTTTTATCTGGTCTCTGAATCATCTGGTGGCCCGTGGTCTCAGGTTTTCAGGGAATATTTCAGGGAGCTGGAGGAAGAGAGTATCAGAGATAACTTTGTGCTTCTCTACGAACTCCTGGACGAGTTGATGGATTTCGGCTACCCTCAGACCACAGAGGGGAAGATTCTTAAAGAGTGAGCTCTTCTTTTGGTCGTATCTGACTCTTGTTCACGAGGGTTCTGGTGGGGTCAAGGTTCATAACTCAGGAAGGCCACAAGTTGGAGTTGACACCCCACATCCCAGCAGCCGTGACTAACGCAGTGTCATGGAGGAAAGAAGGAATCCGCTACCGCAAGAACGAAGTTTTTCTAGATGTCATTGAGTCAGTCAACCTCCTGGTGAGCCTAGCTACCTACTAAGAGTTAGTTCATTCTCTCTTTAATGTTCCTCCCACTGTGGCTTGTGTGCACCAACCTTTCTCTAATAGTTTGCCTCCTTCTCGTGTGTGCAGGTGAGTAAGACAGGGCACGTCCTGCAGAGTGAGATAGTTGGGTCGGTAAAGATGAAGGTTCGACTGACAGGCATGCCGGAACTGAGGCTGGGACTGAACGATAAGATCCTCTTTGAACACACAGGACGTGAGACCACTACGTAGTCACTGAGCTTCCCAAGTCACCCCCTCTCCTCCCAGGGACACGCAGCAAGGCCGTGGAACTAGAGGATGTGAAGTTCCATCAGTGTGTCCGACTCTCGCGGTTTGAGAATGACCGCACTATCTCGTTCATTCCCCCCGACGGAGAGTTTGAGCTCATGTCATACAGACTCAACACTCAAGTCAAGCCTCTCATCTGGATAGAGTCTCAGATTGAGAGACACTCCCACAGCAGAGTCGAATACCTCATCAAGGTAACATTTTCAGGTCCTGTGTACAAACTGGTGCATGGTCTCCCTCTCTCCTCTAGGCTAAGGGACAGTTCAAACGGAGGTCTACTGCCAACAATGTGGAGATCCTCATCCCTGTTCCTGCAGATGCCGACTCTCCCAAATTTAGAGTGAGTCTCACAGAACTTCACACACTGCCCACTAACCTTGTTGCACACCTGACTACAGTCCAATGCTGGCTACTCCAAGTATGTTCCAGAGAAGAGTGCGCTAGTCTGGAACATCAAGAACTTTCCAGTGAGCCCCTCTCCTCCCTCACCCTCACCCTCACACACAGTGACCGTATTCTTCACTGACCGTCCTGTCTCCCGTGACAGGGAGGAAAAGAGTTTGTGCTGAGAGCTCATTTCGGTCTCCCGTCAGTGGAGTCTGAGCAGGGCGAGGGGAGACCTCCTATCAAAGTCCAGTTTGAGATTCCATACTTCACCACTTCTGGCATTCAGGTGCGTGTGTGCTGTAGTCAAACTTCCTAGGAATTCGACCAAAAAACTGGGTTTGCAGCAGTCGTGTATATATGTACTGTTCTGCCTTCAGGTGCGCTATCTGAAGATAATTGAGAAGAGTGGTTACACAGCTCTACCGTGGGTCCGATATATCACTCAGAATGGAGGTAATGCGCTCTCCCTGTATGCCACACCCACCAGCCACACCCCATTTCTTTCCCTGCAGATTACCAACTGCGGACCACATGAACTTCTCCTCTAGCCAGTTTTGTACTGTACATAATGTTAGCTCTAAACTTGTGTATATATAATAACTGGAATGACAGTGGAAACTTCAAGTAAAGAGAAACAGATAAAAATGATGTACTGTCACTTGGTCCAACTGACTTTGGGGATATCAAAGTGTTCGGTGAGAGTGTCTAAGTATTTGTTCATCTCCTGGATCATGGAGAAACAGAGTGTCACGGTCAACACAAAGTCAGACTGGAATAAATCTCACCTCCACCCTCTGTTTGTGGGTCTTTTTGGCCTTCTCCAATACCTTCTGCTTTTGCTGTGAGACGAAAGAGTCACTGCCAGGCAGCCCGTGTTACTGGCTGGGAAACTCACTCTCTTGGCTTGTACTGCAGCATACGCCTTCTCTGCGGATGTTCTCGTGTTTTTGACTTCCTCCGCCTTCTCCTCGACTTTCTCTACCACCTCTACTACCTCCTCTGCCTTGCTCTTCTTCTTCTTCTTCCTGTGGAGTGAAGAGGCCAAGGTCACAGCTGATGTAGACCCACAATGTAGCACAGCCTCTCCTTACTTCTTTACTCCTCCTGAAGATACGCCTTTCAACTTTAGCGAGCCTCCAACACACTCGGCGTAAGCGTCACTCATAGCAGCAAGCTCATCTCTCTCCCTGACTCCGTACACGGAAACTGTATACGTCCGCATACTTTCAATTAACGGGGTGGGATTTCCCGCGGGGTATCCCCTTGTACGTACGATGTCCTCCCGCAGTAGGACTTACGAAGACGGAGATGTTTCCAGAGACTTCTGCTGCTTCATGTGCAACGGTCGTCAGATTCTGCAGGGTTACGTCACCCTGTACGTCTCTTTCACCAGGCTCACCATGTTCGACGGGTAAGGAAAGTAGCAATTTACCTCTATTCTCTCTCTGTTCTGCCGTCTGGAGTACAGGAGAATTTTGGAGGAGTTTGAATACGGCACTGTCTACTCGGTGAACGAAGAAGAGCCGCCAACAACACACTCTCTGATCATCAACCTTCCTCACCATGTAACCTAGACACAATCCTTCTACACTGACCCAAGTTTATCCCTCTTCTGTCTGCAGTCTGTCTACCTGTGTCACCTGCTGAGGAAAGCGCTACTGTTGAGAGTGTTTCAGAAACTAGAGCTGTACAAACCAGATGTCCGCCTGCCAGCTGAGGTAAACACAGTACCCCCACAGATAGACACAACCTATCAGCCTATATTTCACCATTTCATCAGTCTCTGGGGTTCCCAACCGGAGGTCTTGCAGGAATGTCCTGTTCACCTAATGTGGCTCGCCTGGTGTACCCCAAACCTGGCCTCTGTCACCATTATGATGATCATCATCACCATGGTGATGATGAATGTAGCAGTCACACTCACTATGAAGAGAAACGGCACAGTCATCATTATGATGATGAAAGAACCAGTCGCCGTCATTATGAGGGGAAAAGGGGCGGTCAGTGGACAAAAACTGGTTCTCAGAGCAAATACTCTGCCTCGGATCAGGACTTTTCAGACCACCTCTCACCCACCTGATTTCAGCTCTCACCTTCATCATCACTTTTTCTCATATGTCATTCCCACCTTGTATAGTATAGTGTGAACTGTGTCATAACCCTCGGCGCGCATGCGCAGCGAGGTTAGTACCCGTGTGTCTGTCTGTCTACGACTATTCTCGCAATACAGGCAACGAGGCGGCTTATGAGCGATTCCAACAGCTTTAGCGGTACATGGGCTAGAAAAATAAATGGCGATTTTGCTGAAACGACTGCGTTCGAGAGCGACAAACTGGCACGGTCGCGGACGACGACAGCGTTCCGTGGCCCACCCGTCAATAAGCGGTGCGCATGCGTGTATTAGACGCAGTATGCTGGCCTCGACCTGATCCGCTTGCTCTGTGTACCTTGGAGGCACAAGAAGCCACAGCGAAGGGTGTGCATCGACTCCCGCATGCTATCTACTAGCCAGTGTCAGCGAGCTACTAGCGGGAGACCGCGAATAAACGCCAATGCAATAGCCCAGTCTGATGGATAAGCACCCCCTCTCTTGATCGTTCGATCCTGGTTCGATCCCGGGGGTTGTGCGCCTTTTTCACAATGATGTAATGTATAGGATGTTGGCTGTTGGTATATATGGAACGTTTTTTCATCAGCTCTCCAGGCCAGCCCGAGTGGCTAGGTGGTTAGAGTCGTGGGGACTGACACCATAGGTGCCCGGGGTTCGTATCCCGATCCCGCACTAAAATGTCAGGTGGTCCAGAGCATTGGCTGGGAACAGCTCTGGTTCCTCCCCTTACCCACAAATCTACCACTGACCCATGTTTCTCAAAGGGCAGCGTATAGTTCGGCATAGCACTGCGTCCGTAGACGTCTGTCTGGAGAGATGAAGGGCTGGCCGTTTTTTTTCAACTTTGGGTTTTTGGAAATTTTTTTTTGCACTAAACAATCCACGGGTAATACGAAAATTAGTAGAGAGATGAAAGGTTGGCAATTTTTCAACCTTATATATTTTTTGGGCCTCAAACAGAAGTAGGGCTGTTCTTTTTGATGCAACGAAGGGCGTGTATCGACTCTCGCATGCTAATCTACTACTGTAGCTACTCTCTGCGAGCTATAATTACCCTCGGCGCGCATGCGCAGCGAGGGTACTGTAGTTGGGTTTGTCTGTCTGTCTGTCTGTTACTCTCAATCTCACTTCTCGAATGTCTGTTCGTCTCACAAACGATACAACCTACTTAACCGGCAATGAAGGTCAGACATTTCGAACGGTTTTCTCTGAAAATGCTCCGTTGATAAGCTAGAGCGCTTCCAGCATTGTATGGCAAATGCCTGTAGTCGCCATTTTATCGCTGGCGGCCTAATGCGCATGCGCTTATATTTAGCACAGGACCGGTGTCACAGTATATTTTATCCCCCGTGTATTTTATCCGGGGGATAGTATATTCTATCCGGCCGGATAGAATACTCTTAGTGTGGAATATCCGGGGTCCGGATATTTTATCCCTCTAATAAGAAAAGTTTCTGCGCATACGGTAAACGCGCGGGACCATTTTTGTTGGCGCCGTCGCTGCTCATGCATACCGAGTTGAATCTGCACGACTGCACTCTCTTTCTCTTCGAGACACAGCGGTTGCGCGGGTCTGCTCGCATTCACCTGCAACCTGAGCCCCACGCTCGCTGGGATATCCGGTAGTGTTCTACAGTCCGCTGGTGTAACTCCAAACAAGGCTGTCATCGCATTCTGTAACGTTGAAATCCCCCACAGAACCTCAAAACAACACACCCCGCCTGCGTTTCGACACTCCTAATAACGCACAGCACGTGGTATAAAATATCCCGGGTGCGGATAGAATATCCTAGGAAAATTTATCCGTGGGGGATAGAATATCCTATCCGGCCGGATAAAAATTCGGGGGGATGAAATGTACCGCGACACCGGGTCCGCTTGCTCTGTCTATCTTGAAGGCACAAGAAGTCACAACGAGTGTCGTGTATCGACTATCGCGTGCTATCTACAACTGTAGCTAGCCCGCGTCAGACTCTCTGCGAGCTACTTCGCCGAGGGTTTGCACTTTAGTGCTTTTCATTTACACTGTTCCCATTCAAGTAATGGTGGTGGTCTGATGGATAAGCAGCCCCTCTCTTGATCGTGAGGTCCCTGGTTCTATCCCGGGTGTGTACGCCTTTTTTACAATGATGTAATAGGAGTGTTGGTATATATGGAACGTTTTTTCATTACCTCTCCAGGCCAGCCTGAGTGGCTAGGTGGTTAGAGTCGTGGGGACTGACACCATAGGTGCGGGGTTCGTATCCCGATCGCGCACTGAAAGTGTCAGGTGGTCCAGAGCATTGGCTGGGAACAGCTCTGGTTCCTCCCCTTACCCACAAATCTACCACTGACCCATGTTTCTCAACGGGCAGCGTACAGTTCGGCATAGCACTGCGTCCGTAGACGTCTGTCTGGAGAGATGAAGGGCTGGCCGTTTTTTTTTCTTTTTTTCCAACCTTGGGGTTTTGAAATTTATTTTTTTGCACTAAACAATCCACGGGTACATACGAATATTAATAGAGAGATAAAAGTTGGCAATTTTTCAACCGTATATATTTTTTGGGCCTCAAACAGATATAGCGGCTGGCCTTTTTTTTCTATTGATAATAATCCATGGAAATGGTGCATAACATGCTGATGCATGGTGAAGACCATCAATTGTGGTGGTGCCACACTTGTGTATGGGTTCCACATTTCTATAGAGTGTGCCAAGGGTTTGCACTTTAGTGCTTTTCATTATCAACATGAAGGAAGTGTTAATCTTATTATAAACCTAATCTTAAAGTTTGGATTCATTGTTGGTGTCAAGAGGAGCGAGGGTCAGTGTGGCACTGGTACGAGAGACTGTCCTATCGCCTCCTGAGGAGCCCAGACCCACAGTCTCCATGTTAGGCTGAGTCATCCTCCGATTGCCTGAGGGTGAGGTGCTGGCTGTCATGTGAGATACAGAGTGCCGCGATGCTGTATTGACTGGCTGTTTCATCTGAGGCAGCTCCGTGGTCGAGTCATAACTGGTGACCTCTCGTGGCATCGTGATGGACCGCTTTGGCGTCACCATCTTTTCCCTGCCCAGCCTATCTCCCTCTTCCACTGACAGCAGGTTGCTGAAGCTGCTGGTTGTGAGGCTCTGGTGTCTCTTGAACACATCCAGTGCAGCGGAACTGGGTCCTCGCTGGAGGCTGTTGGTCGAACATCGAAGGTCTGGGGGTTTCTCTCCTGCCTCTCCAACACTGCTGATCTTTTTGGGAGCGTCACGAATGGGTTCCTTGGTGGTGGCGGAGGTGGGCGTGTCTTCCCGAGGTGGGGGAAGGAGGCAGGATCCCTTCGTCTGGCTCAGTGTAACCCTTCAGCCACCAGGTGTTCATTGTACCCTTCCCCTGATGCAAAAACACAAGATCACACTGATTGGAGATCTTATTCACGTGTGTACCTTGATGTTAATGTTTCCTCTGTCCTCGAGGGTAAATCCCCCCAATTTTCCCAGCAGCTGATAAGTGGCATCACTGCACTGGATGCTCATTGCTACAGAGATAAACACCTCGACATTAATTAGGAGATTTTGCTACTATTTCTACTCACCTTGACTGTTGCTCTCCATGCGACTGGCAGTGTTGACAGTGTCACCAAACAGACAGTAGCGTGGCATCTTCACCCCCACAATGCCGGCACACACCGACCCTGAGTGGATCCCAGCCCGTATCTGGAGCCTGATGTCTGGCTTGTGGGGAATGGTGAAGTTCTCGCAGCACGCCATCAGCTTCAGAGCCATTTTGGCAATCTCTCCGGCATGTCGGTCTCCGTTGGGCCTCGGTATTCCTGACACAACCATATCTGGACCAGTGACAATGTCTTCCTTGGGGCATCTATTCAACACAATGTGAGACTGACTCACAGGCATCGCCAATGGTCTCCACTTTATACACATCAAACTGGTCCAGGACCCGGTCAAACTCTGTGTACAGCTTGTTGAGGAGGCCAACAATCTGCATGGGTGTGCTGTCACCGGCCAGCGTCGTGAAACCCACAATGTCACTGAAGAAAATGGTAACTCCGCAGAACTCCTCTGCCTCCACAGTCTTGCCGTTCTTTAGCTCTTCTGCAACTGCCTGAGGTATCATTCCTGGATGCAGGCACACCACTCGTTAAGTTAACAGTTAGATTTGATCACTCACTGTACAGAAGATCCGTAGCTTTTTCTTTCTCCACTTCAAGTTCTGCAGTCCTCTCATTCACGAGCTGCTCCAAGTGCTTTGAATATTTTTCCATCTGACAGACAGACACCAGAACTGGTTTACGGGTTTGTACAATACCATGACTCTCGTACCAATTGCATCATGTTGTCAATGGCGTG